AGGAAAACAGTAAAGCAAAATGCACGTGCAAGTTATGGCGTTCGTAACTCGTGGTAGTGGCTATAAAAAGGCAAGCATAAGCCAATAAATTGTCATTCAATTGTCAATATTTTTCAAGTTCGAAAATGCCGAGACTCAGCGCTGCCGATCGGAACATCGCCATAGGGCGTGTCCAAAGAGGGGAATCGCAGTCTTCTGTTGCACGCCACTTCAACGTCCACCACAGCACCATTTGCCGCCTTTGTGACTGATTCACACAGTTCAATTCCACTGCAGACCGTCCGAGAAACAACCGACCAAGAGTTACCACCCCTGCACAGAATCGCTTCATTCGACAATTCCACCTACGTCATCGCAATGCCACAGCGACGGAGACTGCAGGGCGCATCTTTGGTTTGAGGAGGATATCGAACCAGACTGTCAGGAACCATCTTCGCGAGGCTGGAATCCGACCCAGAAGAACAGTTATCGTCCCTGTTTTGCAACAGATCCATCGACAGCGACGCTTGCGTTGGTGCCATACCTTACGGCTTTGGATTTGAGAAACTGGAGACGAGTGTGGTTTAGCGATGAATCACGCTTTCTTCTTCACCGACAAGATGGAAGGGGGGGGGGGGGGGATCTGACTTGGTTGTGGTTCAGGGGAATTTGACAGCAAATCGCTACAACAAATTCTTCAACCTCACCTTCTTCCAATCAATGACTGCCAGTGGGAGCTGTTTCAACAGGACAACGCTTCACCGCACACAGCTCGTGTCACGATAGACGACCTGCATGATGCCAACATCAACGTTTTGCCGTCGAGATCTCCAGATCTCAACCCAATGGAACACCTCTTTGATGTACTCGATCGACGTGTACGTCAACGTTAGAACACGCCGCAGACACTTCCACAACTGGCCAAAGCAGAATGGCGCAGAATTCCACAGGACAGAATTCGTACACTCGATGCAGAGCCGTGATTGCTGCCCGGGGGAGCTCAGCGCCACCTTGTGGCCTTATGTGACATTACAAGGAACAGTTTTCAAAGCCTTTGTACAACGACATGTGACTTTCGAGCTCCAAAATTTCATATTTGTAGCTATGATATCAAATTAAATATATCGACTTTATTAGGTACAATAAATGTACTAAAAATCTGCCTGTGCGTTTCTTTTTTTTGAAGAGTGTATTTTAATATTTTGTTGGACTTTGCACAAAGTTATGATTTTGATTGGTGTTTATTTTGCAACCTTTGAGTTTCGCTTGAATGTGCTGTTTTGATTCTAAAGAGTTTTGAACATAATCATTCCGCTTCTTTCGCTTTAATTAATTTGAAATAAAACACTCGTTCTTTCAGTAAACTTTTAGCATACACAAAAATATAGGTGAGGTGAAATTGGGTCGCGTCCAAGATTATTGCACTTATATAGCGAAGTGCATGCACGTGTGTGTGTGTGTGGCTGCTGGTTCTAGTCCGGACTGATGCCGATTTACAATGCTAGCTCACTGAGATACCATGCCGCAGTTTAACATGAACGAGTATTTTATCAACGACACCATTCTTCCAACTTTTTCAGTTCGTAGACAGTAATAAGAAGTGTCATAAGTGTAAAAAGTACTGGCTCATTTGACTGTGACGTCATGGTAACAATGTCACAATGGTCTGCAAAGCATTGTGATGCAATTTCATTGCAGCGATATCTACAATGTAGGAGATACATAGAGTATACTACACCCATTCTCGCTAGATAGCATTTTTACGTAACGAGTGGACTTTCTATGCTATCTGACCGAGCGAAAGCGAGGTCAAATACCATAAATAGTTCACAAGTTGGTATGGTGAGTGTGGTATTTTATTTATTACCCACGTTAAATATATATTTATGTGGAAATACATAACAATTTTCGTTTGACAGACCAACTGAAACCGGTTGCAAAATCGGGTTGCGCATGAAATTTTGATATATGCCCAAATATGGGCTTTGAATAATGAGGCAAACAGTCGGACACTCGCACTATCGTGGTTGCCGCTGTGCAATCAAAATGGTTCGGTTTCCTTGATCTATCAGCTGAATGTATAACCTGCCCCACAGGAACTCGACGATAGCGTGTATAACATCATATATTCGTACAGAATAAAATCACACCCCTCTATATACATAGAGACTGTCTATGTATATAGAGGAGTGTGATTGTTTACCAATATACGAATATATTATGTTTGACACGCTTTCATCGAGTTCCTGTGTGTCAATGCCTGCTTCGAACGAAGGGCAAGGTCACCACGGGAATAAGAAAAGGCAACCTCGATCCCTCCACACCGTTTTACGCTGGAGATAGGGAATGCTATTGTTCACATTTAGGAAGTTTTGGGCCACATAATCAGAAGTCAGGCACACTTCTACCGAGTTTTCGAATGCTTTGTATCGGAACTGTTCACTTTTAGTAATCTGTTCGTGCAGTCGTGTATTTTCATTCATGAACAAACACTTTCGGTAGTAACAACCGGGGCATCAAACGTAAATCTACATATCATTCCAGATAGTTTAAACTGACATCATTTCATCACGCCTAACCTTCTACGTTAAATCAAATTGAAAGTCGCGAAAGTGGTCGGGTGGTTCACGCTCATCGGGACCCTCGATCCATCTTGTGACATTGCATATGGATATGGCTCGATTATATAATGTCTGCAGTAGCTCGTAGTGACGATCTTGTTTGGTTTAATATTGTGTGTAAATGTCTCTCGCTTTAGTGAGATTCCTTCCGTTCTGCCTTGTAGTTGTAAAATGAATGACGTCTCGCGATTTTTTATGAATATAAAAGTAGTCCCAGTATGACAGAGGTCATGGTTATCCAATCAAAACGAATAAAACGAGGTCAACTTTGTACGACACACGTGTGACGTACGGATTTAGTATCTTACCACCCTTATTTTCACCACGTGGGTAATAAAACATATTTTACATCTGGCACAAAGACACTTCTGTGAATGTGAAATGTGTTCCCTGCGTCTCTGCTTGGCGTTAAGAAACATAATTGTCCCGAGGCAAGTATACAATCCATCTAGGACCAACTTGACCATACAACCTAAATGTTCCTTGCCCATATCGACGGGCCTATTATAATCTACGATAGCCCTGATGAAGAAAATTGTTCGTTTCTTGCAACGAAAAGCTACCAAATCAAAAGGGCGTTCAATTAATAGAGTAGGATTCTGACTAAAACACAAATAGGCCCACCCATAAACGGATTATCTATTAGCCTTGGTATTTGTAACATATAAATAGTTAATTATTGATCCCAAGCCACCGCAACAAAAAACACCATTTATTAGCATCAGCTGCGTGTTTCGCGGGTTCGAATCCCGCTGTGATACATGACTTTAGTGATGTTGTTCTGAAAACGGGGAAAAAAAGAAAAGATTAACTAACTGTGACTTTTAACGCCTCAGCGCCAACCCTCATTCGCTGGCTTACAAGGGGCCAGCTGTCCCGGCAGTGCAGCCTATCGCAATTCACTTTCCAGAGTTGTGTCCCTTAGATATACCAGGAGCCAATGAGGGTGTGTTCGAAACCCATAAATCTCTCTGATTGTTTGAAGGTGTGCCAGCACCATAACGGGTCATTCGTCACCACTCGCCCCTTTCCGTAATCTGCAAGAAGACTCCTCCCCCTATCGATGAATGTTATGTGTGAAAATACGACAAATCAATCAGAATGCGCGTGTGATTTCAAGTTCCCCGTCAAAGAATCCCTCAAAATTTTTTTTTGATTTTACATATGTCTTGCATCTAAAAATATACCCAAGACACAGTTAATTCTGTTCAATCATACTGTATAATTCCGCATGTCCCGATGTGCCTTAAAATGCATCTTAAATGTATATAATATATGGGGAAATATATGTGAACCATAACGCAACGAGTTGACAATTGTTTTAGGTATGCCCGTTTGCGCTAAGACTAAACCCAGTCGCAAAAATGGCCATGAGAGGGGCACGAGTCGTTATTCGGCTTGTCCCGGAATAACACGAGTGGGTCACGAATGCATAACGGGTATGGTGCTGGCTGGTACTGCTGGGTTTCACCAAAGTACTTAACGTCTGAGAGTGAGTGAGTGAGTGAGTATGGTCTTACGCCGCTTTTAGCAATATTCCAGCAATATCGCGGCGGGGGAAACCAGAAAAGGGCTTCACACATTGTACCCATGTCGGGAATCGAACCCGGGTCTTCGGCGTGACGAGCGAACGCTTTAACCACTAGGCTACCCGACCGCATCGCTTCGGGCTCCCCTCTCGCGGCACAGCATAAAATCCTGAAACGCACATATTTCGCGATATGACGAGATAATGGAAAATGTAGACTAAAAGGACACAATTGGACACAATTGCTTTAATGAGTGGTAAATTATTAACACAATACCCATTGTGTTAATAATTTACCACTCATTAAAGCAATTGTGTCCAATTACAAACTGGAATTTCTTTGATTGAAAGGCATATTTTGTTTCTTTTTTTTTTATGCTTTTAGCAAGTTCGTTTTGTTTGTTTGTTGTTTAACGCCGCACTCAGCAATATTCTAGCTCCGAAGTCCGAAGCAGACAATCCAGTGATCGACACTTTGAGCATCGACCCACGCAATTGGGATACGATGCACATGCATCAACCAAGTCAGTGAGTCTGACCACCTTATCCCGTTAGTCGCCTCTTACCACCTTTCATGGCAAGCATGGGTTGCTGAAGACCTATTTAGCCCGGATCTTCAAGGGTGTTTTAGCACTTTAATATACTGTAATAATGTCAGCTTTATGTGGGAGGAAATCCCACAGTGATGCACGTCTAAGAGCATGGGTATGGTAGTGCCTGAGAATCCTATAAATACAATCGAGGAGAAGATGACAATCGAACCCACGATCACCAGATCCTGGCATCCCAAAGGGAGCCAATCCATAACGACATCTAAGACCACCCGCTAATGTTATTAAGTAAATAATGCATATATGATGAATACTACTTACGTGAATGAAGAGGATGGAATTATTTTCTTCTGTCTTGGTAACATGATAGGCACTGAGATTGCAAACGTACTTCATCTTTGTGCTACTAAATCCGATTGTGTTACTATACTGCGCTACTCAATGTGAGCGTGTTATTGCGCAGGGATAAGCCTTTAGAAATGGATGGCAGCTACAGGTCAACAAATGTTCAGCCATTACCTGGTCGTGTCAGTTTCTTCCCCAGGTAAAAGAAAAATTCATCTGTTGACGAAACAATTTCAACAATTAACCGAGTTTTTAAACACCTTCAGTCTGACATGACACCATCCAGAATAACCCAACGTTCATTTGAAAATACTTGTGGCGTTAAACGGCTTATATAATATCTGTCCATAACTCATGCGTATTCGTATTGCATTAAAGCGTTGCTTGGAAATCACATTTCTTCTTCGTCTTGGAGGAGAATTTATAAGTCATCCATGCATTATCCGTATTCCAGTGTCTTGAAAAGTTGAGTGAAATGTAGTAGTTTGGCTTCCGTGGAAGGATGGGGACAAGCGACATTTTCTATCGCTTCCTGTTTCGCACATGTTGTTTTCGCCAGATTCGCTGTCGACAATTGTTTACTTTCAAGTAACTTCACGTAATGTCAGAAATGAGGTCAAGGCGACATGGTTGAATGTGTACATGGTGACAATAGCAGTTGTCTCCCCTTATCCCACTTTGTCAGCTTGTGCTGGGTTTACTGTTCGTGCTGTGTGGACCTCGCTGTTATGTGTATAGACATATAGAATACTAAACGAGCTCCTGTGTAATACCAATTTTATGAAACGAGTGAATAGTTCTGGTATTTGACAAGCTAAAGCACTAACGGGATCGGGTCGTCAGGCTCGCTGACTTGGTTGATGCATGTCATCGGTCCCGATTGTGTGGATCGATGCTCATGATATTAATCACTGGATTGTGTGGTCCAGACTCGATTATTTACAGACCGCCGTCATAAAGCTGGAATATTGCTGAGTGTGGCGTAAAACAACAAACAAACCAACTAACCATCAACCAAGACACGGAGCCTGACCATCCGATTCATAGATGGTCGCATGGCTTGCTGGGGACCTAACCCGGAAACCTTTACATACAAGACTCAAGCGTGCATGCAGTACCATTAAGCCGACCTATTCAAGGCAAATCTTATAGAAAATCACACATGTAATTGTGGTTCAGCTTCTGAAAGTTCTTTTCATGATTTCTTCGATTTTCGTAATTATATTACATCGCGTAGATTATTATAACATTTCGACAGAAATACATGTAAGTGAATCTAGCTCTCAGCATTTGTCACTTGACAGTTCCAAACTAAAAATAATTGACGTTTAGGGATGAGTTTAAATAATTTTAGAGAAAATGAAATCCTAATTCGCCGTTTCCTTAGCAACCTAATATAGATTACCGATGTAAGACTAACTTTGCTAGGGGCGGTGGAGTAGCCTAGAAGTTAAAGTGTTCGCTCGTCACGCCGAAGACCCGAGTTCTATTCCCCACATGAGTACAATATGTGAAGCCCATTTCTGGTGTCCCCAACCATGATATATTACCGTAATATTGCTAAAGGCAGATTAAAACTATAATCACCCACTCACTTAATTTCCTGAAACATCGATAATATTCAGGTGCTATGTGTAAGAGTTGCGTCCTTCAGCCCGGCCAGGATCCGCTAATTCTAGCTCAAATTCCAGATTCAAGGCAATCATTGGGTGGCTAATTGGTCATGTTGCTATGTAGAGTTGCGTCGTACCAGTATCCGATGATCGTGGGTTCGAATCCCACATTCTTCCAAAGTATGACCGAGTGGGTTGCGTTCTTTTGGATGCTAGGGTTTGATTACCGTATTTTACATGACAATGATCTTTGGTTTGTCCGCACCATTGCCTCGCAATGCTGCGATAATCTGCAAGTATACGTATGTTCAGCGGGTTGTTGCTAAAACGGTAACGGGTCAAGATAAGATAGGCGAAAACGGCATTGTGATACCTGGCTAAAATCAAGCCCTGGCCCTGATATTATTTGTTGTTTGTTTGTTGTTTAACACCGTACTCAGCAATATTCCATTTCTATGACGGCGGTCTGTAAAATAATCCAGTCTGGACCACACAATCCAGTGATAGATATCATGAGCATCGATCCACGCAATTTGGTTCGATGACATGTATCAACCAAGTCAGCGAACCTGACCACCCGATCACGTTAGTCGCCTTTTACGACAAGCATAGTCACCTTTACGGCAAGTATGGGTTGCTGAAGACCTATTCTAACCCGGAATGCTATTCTTTGACTTCTGTCTGATATGATTATTGCTGTATTGCATTTGTACTGAGTTCTGATTGAGCATCCCAGTGGATATTCCGGGTTAGACCCCAGCAACCATCTTCCTGAGGCAAGGGAGTTAACTGACAATAAAAGTCCAGTTTCCACCCTCACCAAACTCGGCTCGAATTTCATGGCGCGATCGTTGCGCCACCAGTGGCTCTTACGAATTATTTCCCTTTTGTGGAGACAGGACCAGCTCCTTCCCAGCGCGTGACACATTCGTTACACTCTCGGTAATATCGATGCCACCAGTGTGGGCGCGGCCATTACAAGAATCTTGAAATTTGCCCTCTAACCCCAAATGTAGTAACGTTAATACTTTTGTTTATGTCTTGGGGAATGCCATCACAGTTATTTTTCGAAAGGTTTACGACTGACCATATTTCCCAGATGAATTAACCTTTTTGTTTGTTTGATCGGCTTTGTTCGAGATTGCAGACGACCGGAAAATCAACCAACTTCTCCCTTACATTCTTACCATACCAATTATATGATAGTTGTATTGAAACAGAAATTCAAATTGACAAGCAAAGAAAATAATTCAGCAGGGATAAGAGTATTCGGTGTCACGTCGTCACTTGTTTGTTAACATAACGGGCAAGTTCAACTTACTTACTTACTTATATTGGAGATTTAACATGCTCTTTCCGACAGCAAGCGTATGTCGCACACGGGCCCGGTCAGGCCATTTAATGTGTTTCCGAAAAGGGGAAAAGTGAGTTTGTGCAACCCAGGAGGGGGCCTTTGGGATTGCTTATATAGTAATTTTGAAATTTTGAGATTTGGAATAGATGCCGAGAGTGGGTGGAGGACGAACTCAGGGAGCTGTGTGTGTTGGGTGGTTGTTAGATAAGGTAGTTTTGGTTTTAGTAATTTATTTGGGGTTTAAATGCGACTAATTAGTCCTGTTTTAATTAGGTATATGCCTAAGGCTTTGAATTTTCTAATTTATTTTGTGGATTTAGGATTGATTCTAGTGTAAGTGCGGTTTTAAGATTTAGGATGGTCTGTAGTGTTGTTCGGTGTGTTTGGTAGTGTGTGCTGTGAATGAGTACGTGTTCTGGTGTTTCTTGTCGTTTGCAATGTGGGCAGTTTCCTGTTGTGTGTAGATTAGCTATTTTACGGTGATTATTTAGTTTGGTGTGGCCTGTTTGTAGTTTAGTAATTATTCTGTCAATTTTTTTGGATGGGTGTAGTATTTTTTTAGTTAGGTTTTTTTTCAGTACTTTCCTGATTTGGCTATTTGAGTTTTGGTATATATTTTGCCATTTTTTGTTGATTTTTTGTTTAGTGACACTTTTGATTTCTGATTTTGAGCTGGGTAAGTTTAAGCTTATTTCTGGGAGTTTAAGGGATAATTTTGCTGCTTTATCTGCGTTTTCATTTCCAATGAGTTCAACTCCAAGAATGGTTTTAAAATAGCCACCTATCACAGTGGGGAGTTTTGACTGTTGGCAGCAATATCATCGAGAGCTCTGCGAGGAGCTTGGAGACAGGACTTTTATAGTCAATTAACTCCCTTGCCTCGGGAAGATGAGAGCTACATTATGCTAATTACCCCTAGGGGTACGTTAATTGCCGCTTTTAACATCATTTTAGGGCTGTTGGGTAGCCTAGTGCGTAAAGCGTTTGCTCGTCACGTCACAGACCCGGGTATCGATTCCCCACATGGGTACAATGTGTGAAGCCCATTTCTGGTGTCCAGCCGTGATATTGCTGGAATATTGCTAAAGGCGGTGTAAAATAATATTCGCTCTTTAAACATGTAATTTCAGTTCGTGTTTGTTTCATGATTAAAGAAAAACAAATGTTGCGGGCCGAATATCACACGCGAGCACAGACAAGGTGACGACAGACCAAGGGTTATCAATATATATTATAGTCGAGGCCAATATAAGATGCGACCCTAGGCCAAGCGGACTATGTAGTAGTAGTAGTAGTAGTAGTAGTAGTAGTAGTAGTAGTAATTATGGCAGAAGTAGTAGTATTAATTATGGTAGAAGTATAGTAGAAGTAATTATGGTAGTAGTAGTAGTAGTAATTATGGTAGTAGTAGTAGTAGTAGTAGTAGTAGTAGTAGTAGTAGTAGTAGTAATTATGGTATTTTTTTGTTGTTTTTTGTTTAACGCAACATTCACCAATATTCCAGCTATATGACGGCGGTCTGTAAATAATCGAGTCTGGACCTCGCAATTGGGATAGGTGACCAAGTCAGCGAGTCTGACCACCCGATCCCGTCAGTCGCCTCTTACGACAAGCATAGTCGCCTTTTACGGCAAGAATGGGTTGCTGAAGATCTATTCTACCCCGGATCTTCACGGGTCTGGCTTTGAGGGAATATAATGTAAAGGTTGTGAGATGTGAGACCGCAAAATGAAAGCGACAAAAGTATTCATAACAATTAATTAAATCAAGCAACAAAACCCCTTTCCCTATCCAATAGAAGTCTCATCATAAAGCAAGGGCGATCCAGTGGTTAAAATCATGAGCATCGATCCACGCAATTAGGATCGATGACATGCATCAACCAAGTCAGCGAGCCTGACGACCCGATCCCGTTAGTCGCCTCTAACGACAAGCATAGTAGTAGTAGTAGTAGTAGTAGTAGTAGTAGTAGTAGTAGTAGACACATGGGACTGTAATAATGTCTTTAGCATCTATTATTTCTTTATCCTTCAGTGCTTCCCTTTAGAAAAATACACTGATACGACGTCTTAGAAAACCGCAATGGTCGAATGACGCCAACAATTTTCATATAAGACGTCGTTTCTAGTGTGACGCCATTCCGATCGTACGTCACAATAAGATTCGAACGTCATTAACAATCCCTCCGGATGACGTAAACAATACACTGGTACGCGCAAAGTGATATTTGCACTAATGCACATATAGAGAATCTCACCCGAGTGTCTTTTGATATCAAATATATCAACGAGGCTTGCCGAGGTGTTTTTTCACTTTTATCAACGAGTGTGTTCTCTTCGGTTCCATCACTGTACGATACAAACGTTGAGGTAGTTTTTTCAGAGAAGCGAAATAAAACATAAATGCATGGAATAATGGTGTTGTGAACATTATTAGCAAAAGATTCCATCATTTTCATCACATATGAAATGTTTTCGTTAATATGAATCATTCGTTCCCCACTTTTTATCGTGGTTGTTTAGTGGATGTTTATAGCACAGTATTTTCGATTATCTCCCTTCTATCAACTATTCCATTTATCCACACTTCTGAAAGCAGCCTATATTTTCTGTACTGGATTATCGAGTATATGAAGACACGACTCACTTCCGGGCTTTTTGGAGATTTTTGTTGATGTGTGATATTAACAATGTTTTATGTGTGATATCAACTTTGGATTAGTTATCTTGTTGTGAAAAAATGGCTGTAAGTATGGCTATATTTAGCGATCTTTTAGTTATCAGCTAATTAGTGAAACGAAGACTGTCTTGTTGCGAGAAAGTTGTTGACTTAGATCGTTTTGTTAATTTTCGTAATTCTCACACAACGCATATGATCATGTAGACTACTTATCTGAAACGTGATGACATGGGCTGTCAACATGGCCAATACTTTAAAAAAATGTAAGTTGTATGCATGCAGTCTGCAGTGCAGTGTACTGACTCGATATACGTTTCACGCAGCCCGCAGTGCAGTGCAGTGTACATGTTTTTACATGGTTTTAGCATACGATAGTTAGTGACAGGCTTCACAGTTTTGGGCTGGGACGAATCAAAATTTACTACACGGGTACCACCCCCCTATTACCCGACCCTACCAACCGAATCCGGGTACCCGCTGTAGGTCTCAAGAGAGGTACTAAATGTCCGATTGGGAATAGTTTGACCGCAAGGTAGAAATGTCTGATTGGGAATAGTTTGACCGTAATCCTGGACAAAATGTATTTAGATACACATATTAAATGATCATGTCATGCATACACTGAAGTTGACTGAAGTTTTATCTTTATTCAAACATATAAAAGTGCATAGTCAGAAAGAAATGCGGACATTAGTGACTTGGAGTGTAACCATATGCATGATGATATAGTTCTAGATCATTTTTGTCATTAAACAATATATCACATGACTAACCGCGGGTCTGGGTAGGCCTGTGGGTGCCTGGGTCCTTCTCAGTATTCACCAGAACCGAGCACCTGAGTTAACCGTCCCAGCCCTCTCACAGTTACAGCAACATATAGACATAGTTGACTCTATTCAAAGGTAAATAAGAAACCAATATACATGATATAGCATATGTTTGCCACTATTTTTATTGAAGTATCCAAGCCATACTCACTCACTCACTCACTCACTTGTCAACCATAGCCTCACTCACTCAATCACACACTCCAGATTTTTCTGTAATGTAATGTGATCATTGTAAATTTTTTATGATATTTACAATATGGAAACACTGAAGGGTGATTATCTCTCTGACTCTGTTGTGTGTAGGAGGCGGAGGGGGCGGACAGCAAGATGGAGGAAGCAGGGACGAAGAGTCCAGCGTCAAAGGTGGGACAGTTTGCAGAATTAGTAACTCAGTGTTTTAACCATCAAATATGTCCCTGTGGGGATTCTGAGCCAGAATTGGGCCCCAGTGACCAATGCTTGTCGTATAGGTCAACTCAGTGAATTAGGCAGTTGTATGTCATTGTGCCCCAATGTGGTGGGGCAGTGCTCTTGCTTTTACTCACTGGTTTGGTCTCCAAACTTGACATATGTTGACTGGAATATTTGCTGAGTGCGGCAACTTGAAGGTTCAGTTCTTTGGATGATCAGTTATTTGATGTCCAGCGTTGATGTATCGGATCAGCTCATTGGTTGATCAGTTATTTCATGTCCATTGTTGATGTATCATGATGTATCAGATCAGCTCAGCTCATTAGTTGATCAGTTATTTGATGTCAAATGTTGTTGAATCAGATCAGCTCATTGGTTGATCATGTGTTTTATGTACAGCATTGATGTATCAGATCAGCCGATTGGTTGTTAAGTTATTTGATGTTCAGCGTTGATGTATCAGATCAGCTGATTGGTTGTTAAGTTATTTGATGTCCAGCGTTGATGTATCAGATCAGCCGATTGGTTGTTAAGTTATTTGATGTTCAGCATTGATGTATCAGATCAGCTGATTGGTTGTTAAGTTATTTGATGTTCAGCGTTGATGTATCAGATCAGCCGATTGGTTGTTAAGTTATTTGATGTTCAGCGTTGATGTATCAGATCAGCTGATTGGTTGGTCAGTTATTTGATGTTCAGCGTTGATGTATCAGATCAGGTGATTGGTTGTTAAGTTATTTGATGTTCAGCGTTGATGTATCAGATCAGCTGATTGGTTGTTAAGTTACTTGATGTTCAGCGTTGATGTATCAGATCAGCTGATTGGTTGGTCAGTTATTTGATGTCCAGCGTTGATGTATCAGATCAGCCGATTGGTTGTTAAGTTATTTGATGTACAGCATTGATGTATCAGATCAGCTGATTGGTTGTTAAGTTATTTGATGTCCAGCGTTGATGTATAAGATCAGCCGATTGGTTGTTAAGTTATTTGATGTCCAGCGTTGATGTATCAGATCAGCCGATTGGTTGTTAAGTTATTTGATGTCCAGCGTTGATGTATCAGATCAGCCGATTGGTTGATCAGTTATTTGATGTCCAGCGTTGATTTATCAGATCAGCTGATTGGTTGGTCAGTTATTTGATGTCCAGCATTGATGTATCAGATCAGTTCATTGGTTGATCAGTTATTTGATGTCCAGCGTTGATGTATCAGATCAGCCGATTGGTTGTTAAGTTATTTGATGTCCAGCATTGATGTATCAGATCAGTTCATTGGTTGATCAGTTATTTGATGTCCAGCGTTGATGTATCAGCTCATTGGTTGATCATGTTTCTCATGTTTTTTGTCAATTAGTGTGATTTGTGTCGGTCACCCGTGTTTTGCAGGGTATCTAGCAAAGGATTCCGTCATATTTTGTTTGCAGGGCATTGGTCCCAAACAGTTCAATATTTGTTCATGAAGCTTGTTACACATCTGACATGGACTGATCTGGTGCCTTTTTCTATTCAGGATTTGCTTTTAAATTGTGTTGTCATGGCAACAAGTTTGACTTAAAAGGTTCACTTGAGCATGATGAGGGTAAGGTTTCTTTTCCGGAGTAAAATCCTTACCTCTTTACATCAGGCAAGTGCTGAACTGGTGTCTTCTGCTCTTCAAATGTTTTGACTTTTTTAGATTTTGCATTTCTTAGGCATTAACAAGTTTGACTTGTGGAGATGAGAGTTTCATTTTGCAGAGCATATATGATTATTATTTGATATATGATGCTGATTGTTTCTTCATTATTTTTGTTGCCCTGGCTGCAGTTGGACACCTTGTCACGGGAAGATCTCGTCAAGTTTGTCAAAAAGCAAATGGTGATGTTTCAAAAGACAAAGGCCAAAGTTGAAGGTAAAGAACATGAGAATGGCTTGTAGTCTTGTCTTATCTTCATTGTAACGTGTTTGTACTCTTCATTGATGATGATGATGATGATGATGACGACAGTGATGATGATGATGATGGTGATGATGATGCCTACGACAGTGATGATGATGGTGATGATGATGCCGACGACAGTGATGATGATGATGATGATGATGATGATGATAACACCAAAATCAATAATAGTTATGGCAGTGCCTCAGGTTGCCAGATTGCTAATGGGAGCAGGGCCTAAAATACAATGAATACGGTATATCTTAAAGCGGCATTTAGAAGCTGACTTCCACATTCAAACTTTTTAAATGTTTAATCTGTCAATGCAGCGTATCGGTACATAGGCCACTATTGATTTAAAACAGGTGATAAATACTGTCTTCACTCGTCCTGTATTATTTGAGCAGATCTGACAAAGAAGCTGCACTCTGCTGAGGGCAAACTGAGACAGGAGACTGCTGGCACTCATGAAGAACTCGTCAGTGAGATTCAGGTAAGTTCAGGGGGCACGGGTGGCCCAGTTGTCTAAGGCATCGCAAATCGCTGTGCAGAGTTGCATCCCTTGGTCACACCAGCAACCTGTGATTGTGGGTTCAAATCCCAGTTCGCCCCGAATATGTTTCTTAGTTTGTTAGCACCCTTCCCATGATATAACTGGAATAATGTTCAAAGCAGCGTTAAACCCAACTCACTCACTCACTCACTCACTCACTCACTCACTCACTCACTCTGGTTTGTAAACTGCTGTGTAAATTTCGGTCATTTGCAAGGTTTTGTAAAGCACTGCCAACTCAGGCATCAACAGGTATATTCCAAATCTTTTCATGTTTTTATTCAAGGTGTTCACATGATTTGATGCACCTCGCGATGTAAGACACGTTTTATCAGCTTATAGATTTTGATTATTGCTCATATTATCTTGACTTGGTGCCACCATTTTGTGTGAAGCAATTGCAAGTCACATGAGAGGTGGAATCTGATTGGTCAATAGAGGACATAGAGGGACATAACTCGTAATAGCCACTGATGGCGCTATGATTGAGCCCAGAAATTCCAGCCTAGCTTGGCAATGGTGGAAACTGGACTTTCACCGTCAGTTAACTCCTTTGCCTCTGGAAGACGTGATTTTATGCATGTATTGAGCAAGAGAAATATCTGAAGGAAACAGACACGAATGTAATAATGGCTTTATTATCCTTACTGTGATGCTAAGAAATAGTATCTTCTATCTTGAAAACCATGTCCTGGGCTAAGTGGGTCAACATAAGTCAAGAATAATGTAATTATTAATTATAATGTCAAATATTACATCAACAATGCTGTCTGTATTTCATCAACAAAAGTATTTGAACTAACTCATGAAGTGAGTCTCCTCATGTGAAGTTCCAGGTTACAAAAAGTCTTTAGCAACCCAAGCTTGTCGTAAGAGGCGACTAATGGGATTGGATGGTCAGACTCACAGTCTTGGTTGATGCATGTCATCGTATCTCAATTGCTTAGATTGATGCTCGTAATGTCAATCACTGGATTGTCTGGTCCAATCTTGATTAGTCACATACCGCTTTCCTATAGCTGGAATATTGCTGGTGTGGTGTTAAACAACAAACAAACAAACGAAACAAATTATTACACATTTGCTCAGTTATGATTAATATTTACTTACTTATATTAAACCCAGGGATTTATCTAGACCTACACAAAGGCTGTTATTCGGCCCCAAGTCTGTAGCAAATGTCAGAAAAAGTTCCCAAATTGGAACTAAAACTTTCCCAAGTGATGTTAACACAGGTCTAACTAATGTATGACTTTGAGAGGTAACTTGTGTATCACTGACAACAGGACCAATACAGGAAGGGGCAATAAAGCTTATTTTCACACTGAATGCAATGTTAAAATCCATGTTCCAAATTTAGGAAAATAAAACCATTTAAAAAAGTCCCAATTTTGAACAAAATAATGACTAAATATTTCGAATCCTAGATAAATTTCTGTAAACCTTATTGATAATGAGATAGTGTATAATAGGAAGGGCTGAGGCTTGGTTCCGGCTGAATTACGTACGTTATTCATTCACCTGAAGCAATACAGAAGTTTTTTTACCAACAGAAAAATAGTTTGATGAAAGTGTAACCCATACATAAGCTGACCCCTTTCTACAGAATCTTTTTTCTGGTCCTTAAAAGTCAGCTTATCTAGAGTCATATACGGTAAGCCTATTACCACTTCCGCTTGTTACAGTCTGCTGGGGCACAGGTTTACACATTCAGCTGATTGTTTCAGGGCTTAAAGGCTCAGCTGGCTGAGTGTGAGACCGAGAGATCTGAAGCCGTTGCTGCCTACAACGCAGTACAACAAACTCAGGAACAGTCGGCCAGCACGATCGAGGTAAGCCAGGGGACAAGGATAGTAGGGCTGGGACGAGTCCAAATTTACTACCCGAGTACCCATCCCCTATTACCCGACCCTACCTGGGTACCCACTGTAGGTCTGAAGAGAACAAAATGGCTGCTTGAGAATTGTTTTACTGCATCCCTGGCCAAAACTATTTAGATACATGTATGAAACGATCGGATCATGGGTACACTGAAGTTGACTGAAAGCTTTATCATTACTCAAACATATACAAGTCAAAAGGAATGTAGTCATCGTCAGAAAGGAATATGACCATTATCAACTTGTAGTGTAACCACTGAGCTATAGTGAGTTTTTGTCATTAAATGATATATTACGTGACTGACCACGGGTCAGGGTAGTATCGTGGGTACCCGGGTCCTACTCTTGATTCACCCCACCCAAGTTACCCATCCCAGCCCTGGATAGCAGTTTTACAAATTAGGAGTCCCAGGTTCTTGAGGTTTTTGAGTTTTTTGTTGTGGTATTTACTACATGGATATTCTAACTTTGTATTTGTATCAAGAGGGTGACTCTCATTGCTGATTGAACACAGTATAGGCACATGGGCCAATTTGACATTAGTAGTAGGAGTACTTGTACATGGAACGTAGCTTACTGTCATCTATCCAAATATACTCAGAGCTCCAGATAAGCTGCGTATCTGCGTGAAATACGCATCAGAAATGCAGAAATACACAGTAAAATATAATCTAAGCATATCAAATACGCAACGAACATTACAGATACGCTACAAAAATCAAACTTGAGCGTATCATCAAAATAGTGTAAAGTAACCCTGTGTATTCGATTAGCAAATCAGCAACTTATTTTGAAATTATAACGGGCATTCCGTCAACCTTGCCAAACTCCACGATGACAATTACATCATGATCATTTGCCATCACACTTTCTTGTGGAAGTAGCGTGGTATTTTTTAGTCCTATAAAGCTCTCGAACCCACACGACACCAGTTTGTAGGGAGTAGATGAATAGTGTTTTTAAATATTTAACTTAAATATCCACATGTGTAAAAACTAGTGGGTAACAGAAATTTGAATACACAGATAGAATTACTGATACCCAATGATTTTAAAATGCATGGGTAAAATACCCACAACACCAAAAGCTTATCTGGAGCTCTGTATACTAAACCATTTAAGTTGGGGATCATTAATATTTTGGGGGATATTGTTATGAAACTGTCTGCTGTTTCACATTTAAAAAATATCCCTAAAAATATTCGTGATCTTTTTTGTTCAGTATACGTAAGAAACATTCAAGGTTTTTGTTTCAAAGAAGGGCAGGTTTTTAAAGGAACTCTGCACAGGCTTAGGAAGGTATTGAATTTTGAAAATACATGTTTTACATTAGCAGTGTGTAGCGTCAGGTAAGTATAAAAACATTGCATTTAATCAGAAATGCTCATTTAAATGCCAACCGTGAGACGTACACGAGGAAGCTGGTTCTAAACAGTGCTCCGATGTTATAATTGTTACAATATTTAGTGTCTTAAAAGACAAAAACTCATGATTGGGTGATCACTTAAAGCAAAAGTGGTATGACACAGGATTGCAGTGGTGCATGGCCACATGACAGTTGTAGATAATTTGTCATTGTTATATTATTCTGAAGGACCCACGATACAAGGCTGTAGACATTACAGTTGCATTATTCTGAAGGACCTCAATATGAGGCTGTAGACGTTACAGTTGTAGATAAATTGTCCTTGATATATTATTCTGAAGGACCTCAATAAGAGGCTGTAGACATGACTGTTGTAGATAAATTATCATTGATATATGTTTTAGTCTGTTTTCAGTCGTACAAATGGGTATCTCTCATACCCTCACGTCTAGTCGCACGTTTAAGAGGAAGCCAGAAGCTGGAATGTAAACATTAAACTTGTTTCTGTCCGGTTGCGCACGCACCTCCCCATGACATGTCACAAATCTCTCAGCGCGCCTCTGAGCTGGTCGCTCGAGAAAGTCTTTCGCGGTAGATTATCGCTTATCTACAGTTGTTCTAATAAAGTAATAATAATAATATGTCTTACCTGTAGACTCCTGGAATGTAATCCTTGGTAATCCATTGTTGTGTTCAACGCGTGTTTCGCTGTTTGACAGTGATTCTACACGTGGCAATATGTCAGGCATTTGTGCCTCGTGTCAACGAAAACTGTCTAAAGTGGACCCTCACAAGTATTGTCCTTCCTGCATCATTAAGGACGGGTTTTCAACGTGTTCAAGGGATAAACGTTGTAAAGAATGTGAGAACTTGTCTTCAATAAACTTTAACTTGTATCTTCGTGCGTTGGCGAAGCGGGCCGCTGACCAGCGCTACAAGCAGAGAAGGACATCGGTTGGATCCTTGGACTCTGCACCCTCCACATCAGGCCCTGGGGGTGGCGGGTCGACCACTCCTAAGAAATCAGTTGTTAAAGACCCGCCTCAGCCAACTTCTGTCTTCGACAAGGACCGTTCGCCTGCTGATGATACTACCCGCACGACTGATCTTCGTCAATCGGTTGATCGAGAGCGTCACTCAACCTCCCCTGTTACGACGGGACCGGGTGGTGACGAAGACCATGAGGGGACTACGGTCCCCAGTCGGTCCGTATCTCGTTCTTCCAACGACGATAGGGACGTCGTGCGGGACGACAGTGGACACAGAAGTCGTTCCCGATTACGTCCCGATATCTTCAGAGCCATGGCTCACGATATGGACCAGAACTTTGCCTCTGCTCTGCCTGGACAGAGCTTCTGCAAGCCGCCTGGTTGATTTCGTTACCCGATCTATGGCATGCCGTTTTCGTCACCCATGACTAGGGATTTGGATTGGGGGCTACTCTTCAAGAAACCAGCGCCCTCCAAAATTCTTGTTGAAGACAGGCATTTGGAATCCATGGACTCTGCTGTTCGTCACCAGCTACAACCGCTTGCTATGCTGTCGACTGCGATCGAGGCACTCTCAGTGTACTTTGAGGAGAAAGAACCCCAGGACGAGGACGGCAGGACGGTGCCATCGGTCCTCTCCTGTATGCAATGGTGGATCTCGGACGTCCTCGCTCAGTCCCGATATGTGTCGGGTCAGATTACTACGGCACGTCGCCATGGTTACATCGACTGCACTGACCTACCTGATCGTCATGGCAGGTCACTCCTACGGGCCCCGTGGTCATCGCAACAGTTGTTTGACGGTCGTACCAACGACGTTCTGGACAAGTACTCCAGGGAAGCCGAGCGTGACATCATCATTTCGGCTTCACACAACATGTCCCGACGGCCACCGGTTTCGAACGCCCCACGACGACGTTACCGAAACGAGAATGTGCAACGGGCCTTCCGTAGGGACGTGCCTCGACAGCCGTTCCGCAAGAGAGATTCCGACAGGAAAGGTTGCCAGGTCTCCTTTTCCAAGTATCCCAGAGGGGGAAAGGACCAGCGGGGGAGGAAGTGAGGTCCCTTCCCCCGCAGTCGCCGTGGTTGGAGTCCCCCCCGGTGACACTACCTTTAGACGAGCTACCGGTAGGGGGGAGACTTCATCACTATGCCCACAAGTGGGTTTTCCTCAACGACCCTTATGTTCAGAACATTTTGACAACAGGCTACGCCCCACGCCTGAGATCGACGCCACCACTGACGTCATCCCCGACATTCCACATTCCACCAACGGATCGGCTGACGGAGGCCATCGATTTGTTGGTGGAAAAGGCGGCCGTACTTCGCCTAGGGACATCGGCACCATCGCCGGGGTACTACTCGCCCATCTTTCTAGTACCCAAGAAAAACTCCACAAAGATGCGGCTTATTTTCAATCTCAAAAAGTTCAACGCAACATACCTCCAACCACCCGACACATTCACCATGATATCCCTCAGCTCTCTGCGTCGGATGATATTACCGAACGACTTCCTCGTCTCGATAGACCTTCAGGACGCGCATCTCCATGTACCAATAGCTTCTGAGTTCCAGAAGTACCTCCGATTCGAATGCCAAGGTATTCATTACCAGTGGGCGGCCCTCCCGTTTGGAATTTCTACGGCCCCGTGCATTTTCACACGGATCATGAAGACGGTCGTAGAATGGCTCCATCGGCAGGCGATCAGGGTCGCCTTCTACCTAGACGACGGGCTCCAAGCTCACCAATTCACAGAAGCCCTTCAAGAAGAGTTGGCGACCACCCTGAGTCTACTACAGTACCTCGGGTGGATCGTCAACTTTCAAAAGTCGGACTTGGTACCAACTCGGGATCTACAGTACATTGGGATACGCTTCCAGACGGGAGTCAATCTGGTCATGGTACCTCAAGACCATTGGGACAAGATTGTCAGCAGCGTTCCGAGACTTCTACATGCCCCGGCGTCGGTGCACACGTGGCAGGAAGTCCTCGGTCTGTTGACATCGGCCCAAGACCTGACTCGCCGAGGTCGTCTTCAACTTCGTCCACTGCAGAGATTGCTGTACCCCCACCTGGAGTTTCCCAATCTCCTGGTTCCACTTCCGGCGCAGCTACGTTGTCATCTGGAGTGGTGGCTCCAGCCGTTGAACGTTTGCGAAGGCGTCTTTATGAGCGAGCCTCCGTTCATACTACACCTATTCGTAGACGCGTCATTGGAAGGCTGGGGAGCACACTTCGGGGACGACCAAGCGGCCGGGCTGTGGTCGCCAGTAGAAAAGGTCCTCCACATCAACTGCCTCAAGATGGAAGCAGTGATTCGGGCGGTCGAGTTCTGGAAACTTCGACTCCGTCGGAAACGGCTGATGATACAGTCGGACAACTCCACAGTCGTCCACTGCGTCAACAAACAGGGAACGACTCGGTCGGCGGCCCTTCTGGACCGGACATTCAGGTTCTTCGCCCTCGTCGACGACTTGGACATGGGCGTACGCGCCCGTCACATCCCGGGGGCCAAGAATGTGATAGCCGACGCCCTGTCGAGACCATCGAGGCCGTCTCCCACGGAGTGGATGATCCATCCGACAGTCTTTCATCTGCTGACAGATCGACTCTGGTTGCCCCAAGTAGATCTCTTTGCAACTCGGTACAACAACCACCTCCCTCGATTCGTGTCGCCGGTTCCAGACCCACGGGCATGGGACCACAACGCTCTAGCGATATCGTGGGAGGGTCTAGACGCTTACGCGTTTCCGCCAACGGTGCTGTTACCATCGATACTGGTGAAAGTTCGTCAAACGGCCAACCTACGTCTGCTTTTGGTCGCGCCTTATTGGCCGGCCAGAACGTGGTTCCCGGAACTTCTTCAGATAATCGATCAACCACCGTTCCCGTTGCCAGATCGAGACGACCTCCTTCTTCATCCTCACACCGACGACTTGCATCCGGGGATAAAGAACTTCCAGCTTCACGCCTGGGTTTGCTTAAGACCTCGTTAAATAAGAAAGGCTATTCGGCTAAAGCGGCAGCGCTTGTCTCGTCGGCACATCGAGTTACGACTCGTAAGCTGTACGATGACAAGTGGACCACTTTCTCCATTTTCGCCAGGTCTCATGGCTTCAACCCGGCGGTAGCGACCCCACCACAGGTGGCGGAGTTCCTAGTCTCTCTTCGGTCATCTCGACGTCTGAAAGGATCGACGATCTCGACATATCTGGCAGCTTTGGCTTCGGTGGTGCCGTCTCCTACGGGCGACAAGCTCACTAAAGTACCGGAGTTGCAGAAGATTCTACGTGCCTTCTTGGTTGAAGATCAGTCACGTAAATTCCGACCGCCGGCCTGGGACCTCGATGTCGTTCTGCGCAACCTGTCTAGTCAGGCTTATGAGCCTCTCGATCAGGTCGCGTTCGACTTATTGTCTCAGAAAACGGCTTTCCTTCTCTCGCTGGCTACGGCTGCGAGAATTTCGGAAATACATGCCATTGACGTCGGTCGGATTACGTTCGATCAGCGTAACCATGGCAACGTCCATCTTGGTCTCAGATGGGACTTTTTAGCGAAAAATCAACTTCCTGGCCAAGATCCGAGAATATTCCACATTCCTTCCTTGTCTGCCATTATGGGCCCTCATGATCACGCTGATCTCACCTTGTGCCCAGTTCGTGCGCTTCGTATTTACCTGCAGCGTTCTGAACAGCGACGACAACATTTTCGACGGCTGTTCATACCGCTCTCAACCAATGCAAAGAAAGAGATTACACGTAATACTCTCTCATTTTGGTTGAGAGCGGTAATTCTCAGAGCTTACGAGGCGCAAGGACTCGCACCTCCCACCTCCTCTCATCCGCACGAAGTTCGAGCCATCGCTTCAACATTAGCACTCCACAGTAATTGTTCGCTACAAGCTATTATGGAGGGCTGCTTTTGGAGATCTACTTCAGTGTTTGCTTCGCATTATCTTAGAGATATCTCCACAGAAGATGTTGAAGGACTCAAACAGTTTGGTCCACTCGTGGTGGCACAACAGATCTCTCAGAAAAGACAGTGAATTTGTGTTTTATTCACTTTGGAGTTTTTGCTGGACACTTCGTGACATATAACAGGTTACAATAAAAGCTGTTGGTGAATGTACGCATTCTTATGGTTTTTTGTTGCGTGTAGTACTTCTGTTTTTTATTATGGTTATTCGGTGTATGCATCGTCTTCCCATACATTGTAATACTGCTCGTATTTTTTAGTTACCTTGTCTACGGCGAGTTGTTCTGTAACTAAATTATGCGCCGACCACACTTCGATCGCAATTCAACTGACGTGTGCAGTTGTCCTGTCGCTTCGATAATTATTTGTGAGTCGAAGAGCATTAAACATGCTGTTTTAGTTTCCTTGTATACTTGTGTTGCTCTGTAACTAAACTATTCGTCGACCACACTTCGATCGCTGTTCAACTGACGCGTGCAGTTGACCTGTCGCATCGATAATTAGTTGTGTGTCGAAGAGCATTAACCATGCTGTGCGTTCGTGATAAACAACTTGTCTCGTCCGTGCATCTGGTCGAATGTTCTATTGTCACTACAGGGGTGAGGAACTTGGTACATTCGACGTGAAAGTGGTCACTGCCTGATTACTTTCCCGACCCTCCTTCCAGTGTTCCGTCGAATTCTACCCATTTGTACGACTGAAAACAGACTAAAACATGGGTTTTTCAGATTAAAAACGATGTTTTATTGGTCTGTTTTCAGTCGTACGTTCCCACCCAGCCATCCCCACAGGGAAGTAATCCAGTCCAGTCCTGCTTGATGGCTTATTCTTCGAGATTTGTGACATGTCATGGGGAGGTGCGTGCGCAACCGGACGGAAACAAGTTTAATGTTTACATTCCAGCTTCTGGCTTCCTCTTAAACGTGTGACTAGACGTGAGGGTATGAGAGATACCCATTTGTACGACTGAAAACAGACCAATAAAACATCGTTTTTAATCTGAAAAACCCATTATTCTGTAGGACCTCGAGACGCAGCTTTCAACAATGAAAGAGGAGAACGAACAGATTTGTGCCAAGTATGTGGCCTTTGAGAAAAGAAACAAGGTGAGATAGATGCCAGATTCCATTTTCTGGAATTTTTATGTTAATTTTTCACAATTTTGATGAAGGAAACATGGACGGCTTCCAGTGTATATCTGTCGTAGATCTTGTCCTCGTTGTCACCACCCCATGCTCTCTACAACATAGCACCAGGTGGCGCCACACTCACATGTCCAGTGTATATCTGTCGTAGATCTTGTCCTCGTTGTCACCAGCCCATGCTCTCTACAACATAGCACCAGGTGGCGCCACAGTCACATGTCCAGTGTATATCTGTCGTAGATCTTGTCCTCGTTGTCACCACCCCATGCTCTCTACAACATAGCACCAGGTGGCGCCACACTCACATGTCCAGTGTATATGTGTCGTAGATCTTGTCCTCGTTGTCACCACCCCATGCTCTCTACAACATAGCACCAGGTGGCGCCACAGTCACATGTCCAGTGTATATCTGTCGTAGATCTTGTCCTCGTTGTCACCACCCCATGCTCTCTACAACATAGCACCAGGTGGCGCCACACTCACATGTCCAGTGTATATCTGTCGTAGATCTTGTCCTCGTTGTCACCACCCCATGCTCTCTACAACATAGCACCAGGTGGCGCCACACTCACATGTCCAGTGTATATCTGTCGTAGATCTTGTCCTCGTTGTCACCACCCCATGCTCTCTACAACATAGCACCAGGTGGCGCCACACTCACATGTCCAGTGTATATCTGTCGTAGATCTTGTCTTCGTTGTCACCACCCCATGCTCTCTACAACATAGCACCAGGTGGCGCCACACTCACATGTCCAGTGTATATCTGTCGTAGATCTTGTCCTCGTTGTCAGCACCCCATGCTCTCTACAACATAGCACCAGGTGGCGCCACACTCACATGTCCAGTGTATATCTGTCGTAGATCTTGTCCTTGTTGTCACCACCCCATGCTCTCTACAACATAGCACCAGGTGGCGCCACACTCACATGTCCAGTGTTGCATCTACCCAGAGAGCTTAAAGGTTGGTGGTTTCATCCCCAGCCACGTCATACCAAAGGATGTTAAAAGATGGCACTTGTTGTTACCCTGCCTGGCGCTCCGTATTAAGGGTCTAAAACAAGGACTGGTCGGCTCGGAGTCAGTATGCTGTGTCTTGAGTGGGGTATCCATGTTAAACTATGGAATGCTATCTCGGAGGCTAGCACTAGGAACTGGTACAAACTGGTATAAGCAGCGACACACCAGTGTCCATGCACATCAAAATACAGATGAAATAATTGTGAGAAAACCCATCATTAATGATGCCTCTGACTGATGTACTACATCTCAGTGTGGCATCCTCACATTGTCAGCTTCCTGTTGGTCATGTGGACAAGGTGTCTGACCTCGAGGACTGTGGTTCAAGTCCCATCACGGGACTTTATCGTAGCTAAATTAAAGGATGTCAGTAAGTGAGTATCTGGACGGGTAGGAAGTGCCAGAGTGCAACACTGCACGTTCATGTTCATGAATGCAGACAAAATGGGCTGCCGTTAAGAAAGAACAAGGCTTGTGTTAAATGGCAGTCCCGACAAGTTTGAATCATGTCCTAGTGAGATACAAATCTGGACCTAATCAAAACATCCAGACCTACATCAGCAGATCGACAAGAGTAGTCCCCCTTTGTTAAATCATTGCCCAATTGTCATAGACACAAAATGTGTCGTTAAAAGATGGTATTTGTTGTTATCCTGCCTGGCGCTCTCTATTAAGGGGCTAAAGCACAGACTGGTAGGTTCAGTCAGTATACTGTGTCTGAGTGGGGTATTCATGTTAAACTGAGGCATGGTATCTCAGTGGACTACAATGTAAAATCGGCACTAGTCCAGACTAATACCAGCAGCCACACGCACGTGCGCGCACGCACACACACTCACACACACACATGCACGTTGCTATAAAAGTGCAATAATCTTGAACGCAATGCTAAACCCCATTTCACCTCACCTCACTGACATGTCAGAGGAAGGAAGGAGTTACAGATGTCCACTTTGGTTTGTGTAGGATCTGATGGAGCAGATGGAGTGTATGCAGATGAAGGACTCGACCTTGACCTCGACCTTGAAGTGTATGCAGGAAGAGCAGACTAAGTTTGCAAATGACAATAAGGTAAACGTTCCTCAGCAGGATCCATGTTTGAAATTAGACATCTTTCGTGTGTATAATTGTCTCTCAGCCTTGTCCATGTACGTCTCTGGGGAGTCTTATAATCTTGAAAGGGATGCTCAACCCCATTTCAGGGCAGTGGAGTAGCCTAGTGGTTAAAGCGTTCGCTCGTTATGCCGAAGGCCCAGGTTCGATTCCCCACATCAATACAATGTGTGAAGCCCATTTCCGGTGTCCTTGATATTGATATTGATATTGCTAAAAGCAGCGTAATACCACACTCACTCACTCACTCACTCACTCACTCACTCATCTGTTTCTGTGTGTATTCAGGACCTAGCAGGACAGGTGGCCCGACTGACGGAGGAACGCGATGACCTAGTTCGTCAGATCGAAAACCTGAGCAGTGCAGACCAGCAGAGACAGCAACAAGGAGAGAAAAATGATATGGAGGTGAGAAACAGACATGTTTTATAGAGTGACGAAGTGTATCGTTACAGCTCTATGTATGAGCTGGGAGGTGAGAAACAGACATGTTTTATAGAGTGACAAAGTGTATCGTTACAGCTCTATGTATCAGCTGGGAGGGTGAGAAACAGACATGTTTTATAGAGTGACAAAGTGTATCGTTACAGCTCTATGTATGAGCTGGGAGGGTGAGAAACAGACATGTTTTATAGAGTGACAAAGTGAATCGTTACAGCTCTAAGTATGAGCTGGGAGGGTGAGAAACAGACATGTTTTATACAGTGACAAAGTGTATCGTTACAGCTCTATGTATGAGCTGGGAGGGTGAGAAACAGACATGTTTTATACAGTGACAAAGTGTATCGTTACAGCTCTATGTATCAGCTGGGAGGTGAGAAACAGACATGTTTTATAGAGTGACAAAGTGTATCGTTACAGCTCTATGTATCAGCTGGGAGGTGAGAAACAGACATGTTTTATAGAGTGACAAAGTGTATCGTTACAGCTCTATGTATGAGCTGGGAGGGTGAGAAACAGACATGTTTTATACAGTGACGAAGTGTATCGTTACAGCTCTATGTATGAGCTGGGAGGGTGAGAAACAGACATGTTTTATACAGTGACAAAGTGTATCGTTACAGCTCTATGTATCAGCTGGGAGGTGAGAAACAGACATGTTTTATAGAGTGACAAAGTGTATCGTTACAGCTCTATGTATGAGCTGGGAGGGTGAGAAACAGACATGTTTTATACAGTGACAAAGTGCATCGTTACAGCTCTATGTATGAGCTGGGAGGGTGAGAAACAGACATGTTTTATACAGTGACAAAGTGTATCGTTACAGCTCTATGTATCAGCTGGGAGGGTGAGAAACAGACATGTTTTATACAGTGACAAAGTGTATCGTTACAGCTCTATGTATGAGCTGGGAGGGTGAGAAACAGACATGTTTTATAGAGTGACAAAGTGTATCGTTACAGCTCTATGTATGAGCTGGGAGGTGAGAAACAGACATGTTTTATACAGTGACAAAGTGTATCGTTACAGCTCTATGTATCAGCTGGGAGGGTGAGAAACAGACATGTTTTATAGAGTGACAAAGTGTATCGTTACAGCTCTATGTATGAGCTGGGAGGGTGAGAAACAGACATGTTTTATAGAGTGACAAAGTGAATCGTTACAGCTCTAAGTATGAGCTGGGAGGGTGAGAAACAGACATGTTTTATACAGTGACAAAGTGTATCGTTACAGCTCTATGTATGAGCTGGGAGGGTGAGAAACAGACATGTTTTATACAGTGACAAAGTGTATCGTTACAGCTCTATGTATCAGCTGGGAGGTGAGAAACAGACATGTTTTATAGAGTGACAAAGTGTATCGTTACAGCTCTATGTATCAGCTGGGAGGTGAGAAACAGACATGTTTTATAGAGTGACAAAGTGTATCGTTACAGCTCTATGTATGAGCTGGGAGGGTGAGAAACAGACATGTTTTATACAGTGACGAAGTGTATCGTTACAGCTCTATGTATGAGCTGGGAGGGTGAGAAACAGACATGTTTTATACAGTGACAAAGTGTATCGTTACAGCTCTATGTATGAGCTGGGAGGTGAGAAACAGACATGTTTTTTACAGTGACAAAGTGTATCGTTACAGCTCTATGTATGAGCTGGGAGGGTGAGAAACAGACATGTTTTATACAGTGACAAAGTGCATCGTTACAGCTCTATGTATGAGCTGGGAGGGTGAGAAACAGACATGTTTTATAGAGTGACAAAGTGTATCGTTACAGCTCTATGTATGAGCTGGGAGGGTGAGAAACAGACATGTTTTATACAGTGACAAAGTGTATCGTTACAGCTCTATGTATGAGCTGGGAGGGTGAGAAACAGACATGTTTTATAGAGTGACAAAGTGTATCGTTACAGCTCTATGTATGAGCTGGGAGGTGAGAAACAGACATGTTTTATACAGTGACAAAGTGTATCGTTACAGCTCTATGTATGAGCTGGGAGGGTGAGAAACAGACATGTTTTATACAGTGACAAAGTGTATCGTTACAGCTCTATGTATGAGCTGGGAGGGTGAGAAACAGACATGTTTTATAGAGTGACAAAGTGTATCGTTACAGCTCTATGTATGAGCTGGGAGGTGAGAAACAGACATGTTTTATACAGTGACAAAGTGTATAGTTACAGCTCTATGTATGAGCTGGGAGGGTGAGAAACAGACATGTTTTATACAGTGACAAAGTGTATCGTTACAGCTCTATTTATGAGCTGGGAGGGTGAGAAACAGACATGTTTTATAGAGTGACAAAGTGCATCGTTACAGCTCTATGTATGAGCTGGGAGGGTGAGAAACAGACATGTTTTATACAGTGACGAAGTGTATCGTTACAGCTCTATGTATGAGCTGGGAGGGTGAGAAACAGACATGTTTGATAGAGTGACAAAGTGCATCGTTACAGCTCTATGTATCAGCTGGGAGGTTGAGAAACAGACATGTTTTATACAGTGACAAAGTGTATCGTTACAGCTGTATGTATGAGCTGGGAGGGTGAGAAACAGACATGTTTTATACAGTGACAAAGTGTATCGTTACAGCTCTATGTATGAGCTGGGAGGTGAGAAACAGACATGTTTTATAGAGTGACAAAGTGTATCGTTACAGCTCTATGTATGAGCTGGGAGGTGAGAAACAGACATGTTTTATACAGTGACAAAGTGTATCGTTACAGCTCTATGTATGAGCTGGGAGGGTGAGAAACAGACATGTTTTATAGAGTGACAAAGTGTATCGTTACAGCTCTATGTATGAGCTGGGAGGGTGAGAAACAGACATGTTTTATAGAGTGACAAAGTGTATCGTTACAGCTCTATGTATGAGCTGGGAGGTGAGAAACAGACATGTTTTATACAGTGACAAAGTGTATCGTTACAGCTCTATGTATCAGCTGGGAGGGTGAGAAACAGACATGTTTTATACAGTGACAAAGTGTATCGTTACAGCTCTATGTATGAGCTGGGAGGGTGAGAAACAGACATGTTTGATAGAGTGACAAAGTGCATCGTTACAGCTCTATGTATCAGCTGGGGGGGTGAGAAACAGACATGTTTTATACAGTGACAAAGTGTATCGTTACAGCTCTATGTATGAGCTGGGAGGGTGAGAAACAGACATGTTTTATAGAGTGACAAAGTGTATCGTTACAGCTCTATGTATGAGCTGGGAGGTGAGAAACAGACATGTTTTATAGAGTGACGAAGTGTATCGTTACAGCTCTATGTATGAGCTGGGAGGTGAGAAACAGACATGTTTTATACAGTGACAAAGTGTATCGTTACAGCTCTATGTATGAGCTGGGAGGGTGAGAAACAGACATGTTTTATACAGTGACAAAGTGTATCGTTACAGCTCTATGTATGAGCTGGGAGGGTGAGAAACAGACATGTTTTATAGAGTGACAAAGTGTATTATTACAGCTCTATGTATCAGCTGGGGGGGTGAGAAACAGACATGTTTTATAGAGTGACAAAGTGTATCGTTACAGCTCTATGTATGAGCTGGGAGGGTGAGAAACAGACATGTTTTATACAGTGACAAAGTGTATCGTTACAGCTCTATGTATGAGCTGGGAGGGTGAGAAACAGACATGTTTTATAGAGTGACGAAGTGTATCGTTACAGCTCTATGTATGAGCTGGGAGGTGAGAAACAGACATGTTTTATAGAGTGACAAAGTGTATCGTTACAGTTCTATGTATCAGCTGGGAGGTGAGAAACAGACATGTTTTATAGAGTGACAAAGTGTATCGTTACAGCTCTATGTATGAGCTGGGAGGTGAGAAACAGACATGTTTTATACAGTGACAAAGTGTATCGTTACAGCTCTATGTATGAGCTGGGAGGGTGAGAAACAGACATGTTTTATACAGTGACGAAGTGTATCGTTACAGCTCTATGTATGAGCTGGGAGGGTGAGAAACAGACATGTTTTATAGAGTGATGAAGTGTATCGTTACAGCTCTATGTATGAGCTGGGAGGGTGAGAAACAGACATGTTTTATAGAGTGACAAAGTGTATCGTTACAGCTCTATGTATGATCTGGGAGGGTGAGAAACAGACATGTTTTATAGAGTGACGAAGTGTATCGTTACAGCTCTATGTATGAGCTGGGAGGTTGAGAAACAGACATGTTTTATAGAGTGACAAAGTGTATCGTTACAGCTGTATGTATGAGCTGGGAGGGTGAGAAACAGACATGTTTTATAGAGTGACGAAGTGTATCGTTACAGCTCTATGTATGAGCTGGGAGGGTGAGAAACAGACATGTTTGATAGAGTGACAAAGTGTATCGTTACAGCTCTATGTATGAGCTGGGAGGGTGAGAAACAGACATGTTTTATACAGTGACAAAGTGTATCGTTACAGCTCTATGTATGAGCTGGGAGGTTGAGAAACAGACATGTTTTATAGAGTGACAAAGTGTATCGTTACAGCTCTATGTATGAGCTGGGAGGGTGAGAAACAGACATGTTTTATACAGTGACGAAGTGTATCGTTACAGCTCTATGTATGAGCTGGGAGGTGAGAAACAGACATGTTTTATAGAGTGACAAAGTGTATCGTTACAGCTCTATGTATCAGCTGGGAGGGTGAGAAACAGACATGTTTTATAGAGTGACAAAGTGTATCGTTACAGCTCTATGTATGAGCTGGGGGGGTGAGAAACAGACATGTTTTATACAGTGACAAAGTGTATCGTTACAGCTCTATGTATGAGCTGGGAGGGTGAGAAACAGACATGTTTTATACAGTGACAAAGTGTATCGTTACAGCTCTATTTATGAGCTGGGAGGGTGAAAAAACGCACATAGTATAATACAATGACAAAGTGTATCGTTACAGTCACTGTTTGTAATTGTTTCAGAAACTGATCCAGCTGAATGAGCTGAAGGAGGAACTCTCCAACCTCCAGAAGGCTAATGACAAGTTTGAGGAGGAGAGGGTGTGTTGGGGGAAGGAAAGGGCGGAGTTGATGCAGAATCTGAATCAGCAGGAGGCTGAGGAGACAGGGAAGTCTGAGCTGACACAGAAGCTGCAGCAGCAACTCGAGGCAGCTGAGGGGGATGTGGAGCAGCTCAGGAGAGATATTGCTGGGAAAGATGAAGAAATCACAGCCATCAGTAAATCCCTGGAAGAAAAGGATGCTGAAATTGAGCAAATGAAGACAGAGTTTAGAGAACATATGGATGCAAACAACAAAACTAAAGGGGTTGAGCAGGAGAAGGATGGTAGGATTGAGGAACTTGGTCAACAGATTGAGTCTCAAAAGTCTGAAATTGAAAACTATAAAACCAGGTTAGAAGCTTCTGAGGGCGAATTGGCGAGTGTGTCCGAGAAGTTAAAAGAAAGTAATTCTAGGTGTGAGGATTTTGAAAGTGAAAAAGTGAAATTAAATGAAGAAGCTCAAAAGTTGAATTCCAGGATAGCAGAACTGGAAGAGGGAGATAAAGAACATGAACAGGCTGTTGAGAAACTGAGAACCAGATGTAGTGAGTTGGAGGGCGATGTTGCATCCAGTTCAGGAGATGCCAAGAAGGCTGTTGATGAGCAAGTTGTCCACTTGGAGGAGAAGGTTCAGGCTCTGTTGGAGCAGAAGGAGAAACTGTGTGTGAAACTGGCTCAGGCGAACGAGACCAAGGACACGCTGAACTTTGAGGTTCAAGAGTTGAGGGCAGAGGTGGAGTCTGGGAACGCTGATCCAGACACCCAGAAGGGCCAGATTCAGGAGTGGGAGAGTCTGATGGAGATGTTGAAGAACGATAAAGATCAGGCTCTTCAGGAACTGGAAGATTCAGAGAAAAGGGAAGAAATGTGTCGCAAGGAGTTGGAGTTTCTCATGACATCTCTTCATGAGGCTTTAACGGAGCGGGACACACTTCAGGATGAGGTGTTCAAGATGGCGGAGAATCCTTTGATGGATGAGATTAAGGAGATGAAGGTGATGATAGAGGACATCATCAATGAACGTAACGTCCTTCAGAAGAAATGGGATGTGGCCACAACTACCAAGAAAGAATATGATGTTGCTATGGAAACTTTGAAGAAAGAGATAGAAGAGTCAAAGCAGGATAAAGAGAACATGGAAAGAGAGAAGGAATCAGGAGCTGTTGTCATGGAGCTGTCGCAGGAGAGAGAAAGCCAGCTGAGAGAAGAATTAACTGAGAAGGAAACTTTGGTGGCAGACTGTCAAGAGAAGCTGAATCAGGAGATTGCCAAGGCAACAGCAGCTGAATCAAGGGTCCAAGAATTGGAAGAGGAAGTATCAGGGTTGAACAGAGGCACAACTGAGAAAGAGGAACGGATTGAAGAGAGACAAAACTACGCAGTAGAGCTGGAAGGTCAGATTCTGGAGATGTCCAATTCTTTAGCCGACAGTAAGAACAGGTATGGGATGTTGAAGGAACAGTTTGACAAACTGACTGAGGACAATGCTGACATTGCTAGGTACTGCGAACAGATTGAAGAGCTGGGCTCTCAGAGGGATGAGGTAACTCGTCAACGTGAGATGCTTCAGACACAACTGGAACAGCTGAAGGAGGAGAATGTGCACCTGGAGGGGAAGGTTCAGACTCTTGGACATGATCTGCAGGGTGCTGTGGAAGAGAAAATGAAGGTTGTTGAAGAACTTGCTCATGTCAAAGAGGAACTAGGTCAAGTGAATGAACAGAATGATGAAGGTCAAAGAGAACAGGAGGGAATGAAATCCACATGTGAAGAACTTAAAAGTAAAGTTTCTGACTTGGAAAATGAGAAGGTTGATACGGAGCGTAGATTGGAGGGTAAGGATGCTGAGATGAAATCTTTGCAAGAGAAGTGTGATGACCTGATACAAGTTCAGGAATGCAAGGACAGAGAGATTGAAACACTGAAGACTGAGGTGAGCGAGAGACAACAGGAGAAAGTACAGGCAGCCACAGAGGCTGATGTTGCTCAGTTAGAAGAGATGGAGGTGCTCAAATTGGAGAGGTCCGACCTGCAGGTTCAGTTTGTGATGGTTCAGGAGAAACTGGCTGAGACGGAGAAGGATATTGCCTCATTGCAGAGTGAAATTCAGGCATTGAAACAAGCTGGTGAAGAGACTTCAATGGGAAGGGAGAAGGCAGCTGCGAGGGTGAAGGAGCTTGAGGAGCAGGTTGTCTTAGTTCAGGAAAAACTGTCTGAGTCGGAGAAGGAGGTCATGGGGTTGCAGGATGAGTTGCAGACACTGAGGGCAGAGGCATCAGATCGGAAAGACACTGATGATGAGAGAGTGAAGGATCTTCAGGATAAGCTGCTGAAGCTTCAGGAGGAGAAGGAAGCTGTGAGTAATACAAGTACCAAGGATAAGGAAGAGCTACAGGCTCAGGTTAGAGAACTTAATGAAAGATTGTCTCAGGGGGAGGAGGAAAAGGGCATGTTGAACAACAAATGTGAACAACTGGAGGCTGCTCAGAAGCAAAAGGACTCTGAACTTGAGGGTTTGAGAATTGATGTCGCTGACAAGAGTGATCGTGTTGTGGAGTTGGAGAGGACTTTGGCTGAAAATGTGAAGCTTGTTTCTGAGTTGAAGGACCAGATGTCAGGTGAACAATCAGCAGAGGCTGAGACAAAAGCTGAGTTTGCTACGTTGAATGAAAGGATGGAAAATGTGACCGTTGAGTTGGATGATTTGAAAAAGGTAAATTCAAGTTTGAGTGAAAGTCTTAAGGAAGCGTGTGATGACAAGGAAAGGTTGATGTCCGAAGTGGCTACTCTGCAGGGTGATTTGAAACATGTTAAAGAAGAGAAAGAATCCTTGAACATTTCCTTGAGAGAAAGAACAGAAGTAGTAACAGTGTTGGAACAGAAATGTGCCGACCTTAATGAGGGTTTGAGTGAAAAAGTCACATTAGTTGAGAACAATTCGCTTTTGAAACAGGAATTAGCATCACTGAAGGACTCGTATGAGTCTGTTATATCTGACAAAAGTAGACTTGATTCTGATCTTGAAAGTTTTCAAACTCAGAAAGATAAACTTGAAACTGAATTACATTCAGTGAGGTCCGAGCTTGTGACAGTGAAAGAAGAAAAGAATATGCTTAATAGTGATCTTTCTTCAAAAATAGAACTGGTGCTAGAACTAGAGTCTAAGTGTGAAAAGCTTGAAAAAGATATTGTTGAGAAGGACCAAGCTTTTGAAGCAGTAGCCTCTGATTCACAAGCTAAATCACTGGAGGAGATGAAGAGACTACAGAGTGAAAAGGAGTCGGTTGAGACCTCCTTGAAGGAGGTTGACAGTAAGCTGTCAGACGTTCAGAAATCCCTTGTGCTAAAGGAGGAGGAGGTGTCTGCTGGCAAGTCTGTGGTGGAGGAGTTGTCCCGGAAGTTGGAAGAGGTGGAGGTGGAGGCTGAGGACCAGCTGCGGAAGATGAAGGAGAGAGTTTCTGAACTTGAAAACAATCTCCAGGAATTGAAGGAAAAGAATTCTGGTCTACAGGTTCAGGTTCAAGAAACTACAGTCAAGGAAACGGCTGCATTGCAACAGAGCAGTGTAAGTATGATGAAACGTTTCTGCTGTTTATAAGACGTATGAGATGTATTTCTTATCCACTTGGCCACGGCACTGGATTGACATTTGTTTTACTTCCCTGATTAGTGACATCTGATTGACCAACTAGCTGGTAGTTGTGTGACATCTGACACCTGACTAACCCCTGACTAACCCCTGACCAACCCCTGACCCTTGACTGACCCTTGACTCACACCTGACTCACACCTGACTGACCCTTGACTGACCCTTGACTCACACCTGACTGACCCCTGACTGACCCTTACTGACCCCTGACTCACCTTTGACTCATCCCTGACTCAAACCTGACTGACCCCTGACTCGCACCCTGACTCACACCTGACTCACACCTGACCCACACCTGACTGACCCTTGACTGACCCCTGACAGACCCTTGACCAATTCTTACTGTCCCCTGACGGACCCCTGACTTACTTACCCCTGACATATGACTCACCCCTCACTCACCCCAGGTTGTTGTTGTCTTCAGAGTTCTGGGGATGAGGTCGGGCGGCTGCAGAAGGAGGTGAAGACCAAGGAGGAGATGTGCAGCAAACTGAAGCAGCTTGCCATCAAGTCCAAGAAGGAGGCCAGTGATGCTAAGTCCAAGGTACAATACTTCACCATAAGAAGCGAAATATTGCTGATGTGATGTTAGATATTACAACAATGGCACAGTAGGTTGCTGTGGTCATCACCTCATCCGTTTATTGGTCAATAACAGTTTGTGTATATGTCACAACAGGGGGCTACAGATCGTGCCGTGAGAAAAGGTAGGGTCTATTGGCCTTGTATGGTGTGACACTGTAGGTGTGTTGGCCTTGTATGGTGTGACACTGTAGGGTCTATTGGCCTTGTATGGTGTGACACTGTAGGGTCTATTGGCCTTGTATGGTGTGACACTGTAGGTCTATTGGCCTTTATGGTGTGACACTGTAGGTTTATTGGCCTTGTATGGTGTGACCCTGTAGATCTATTGGCCTTGTATGGTGTGACACTGTAGATCTATTGGTCTTGTATGGTGTGACACTGTAGATCTATTGGTCTTGTATGGTGTGACACTGTAGATCTATTGGCCTTGTATGGTGTGACACTATAGGTCTATTGGCCTTGTATGGTGTGACACTGTAGGACTATTGGCCTTGTATGGTGTGACACTGTAGAACTATTGGCCTTGTATGGTGTGACACTGTAGGTTCTTTTGGCCTTGTATGGTGTGACACTGTAGGTCTATTGGCCTTGTATGGTGTGACACTGTAGGTCTATTGGCCTTGTATGGTGTGACACTGTAGGTCTATTGGCCTTGTATTGTGTGACACTGTAGGTCTATTGGCCTTGTATGGTGTGACACTGTAGGTCTGTTAGCCTTGTAAGGTGTGACCTTGCAAGGTCTATTGGCCTTGTTCTGCAGCACAATGTAGGATCCGTTGGCCTTGAATGCATGGTGTCACACTGTAGTGTCTGTTGGCCTCTGGTCTGTGATACCAAATGCTGAAAAATATTATTGTATTGTTTTCAGCTTGAGAATATAACAAAGGAACTTGAGTTTGCAAAGAAATCATTGGTGGAAACAGAGGAGAAGTTGCAGAATGTCCAGACTGAGAGCAGTAACTCTTCTGAAACCATACTCTCAGAGTCCAGGCAGGCTCAGGAGAATTATAAGGTCAGTTGTGGTGTCAGATCTGAGAGCAGGAACTCTTCTGAAACCATACTCTCCGAATCCAGGCAGGCTCAGGAGAATTAAAGTGGTCTCTATGGTGCCCAGGTGGAAATGGTATGTAGGTCCACAGCCCACCTCCTCGTCCTAACCTGCCTGAGATGGCTGCAATAGCTGCTGAACTCGACTAGACACAATATCTCCATCGCCTTCAGAAGGCTTCAAATTTGAGTTACTGTGGATGTATTTTCGCCACTTTTAGCAATATTTCAGGGTGTGGGACACACATTATACCTATTTTACACAGGCCTTGGGCATGATGAGCAGATGCTTGAACTACTAGGCTGCTCCCCGTAACTCTCCAAATTTGAATTTGTCTTGAAAAGGCCTTAAATATAACCACTATGGTTAACTCTGTGGCTATGACAGTTATCTGTTGTCCGGTGTGTCCCTAGGGTCTACAGGCGGACTATGACCAGGTCCAGGACCAGCTTGATCAGGAGAGACAGCGGTCAGCCCAGGCCAAGACAGACCTCCAGCAGGCTGTGGAGCAACTGACTGCCCTCAAGCAGGAGCTGGCCGACACCAAGGAGGAGAAGGATAGACTCAACAGACAGATCGAGTCCGCCTCCACAGATGTCAGGGTCAGTACTTTGCTACTCGGAAAACCAATCCAGCGACCTGATATTTCTAACTGTGTTGTACAGAAATACAATACATTCATAAATACCGATCAACTGATGAAAATTTCACTTTAAAAAATCAGAACATCAACATAGGAATCGCCAGGTAAAAGTTAATTGATAACTTTGTCCAGTATACCCTTTTGGGGCCATTTGTTTTTTAATTTTTTTCTGGAAATTTCAAGGCCCTAAGTTGAATTCTCAAGATATTATGTAAAAAAATTCAAAATACTTGAAATTTCAAGATAATATGTTAAAATTTTAAGATTATAACTCGAAATTTCAACATATTATCTTTCAATTTCAACTTATTATCTTTCAATTTCAAGATACCTAATATTAAGTGGAAATTTCAAGATATTAACTTATTCGGACTCGCTCATTATCTTGAAATTTCAAGTAAGTATAAAGAATAAAATAAAAAGACAAATAGCCCTAAAAGGCTTTCATACAATATTTACAAGAAAGTAAATAACAAAGCCAAAGGTAGGAATCGGTATTGCTGCAGTTAGTCAGATTAAATAGTCGTTTACAGTATCATACTGTAACAATAATTTTGAAGCTTCCCACAAAGAGACCTACATTTCCTTATTATTTTCAAGACTAAACTGTATTTCATTTTGTCGATCAATGTGACCATACACGCTTATACTATCAATAAAAGCGACAAATGCGCTTACGAATGGCGCAGCACAGGTCGCTAACTAGTCTAGATTTATATCTAATGCTATATCATTCGGGGGAAAAACAATAACAAAGGCAACAACCAGTCACAGGTAATTGCTGTAGATCAGTGCCCCTTTGATTGTTTGTTGTCTACAGGGAGTGTTTGTTGTCTACAGGGAGAGTTTGTTGTCTACAGGGAGTGTTTGTTGTCTACAGGGAGAGTTTGTTGTCTACATGGAGTGTTTGTTGTCTACAGGGAGCGTTTGTTGTCAACAGGGAGTGTTTGTTGTCTACAGGTAGTGTTAATTGTCTTCATTGAGTGTTTGTTGTCTACAGGGAGTGTTTGTTGTCAACAGGGAGTTTTTGTTGTCTACATTGAGGGTTTGTTGTCTACAGGGAGTGTTTGTTGTCTACATTGAGTGTTTGTTGTCTACAGGGAGTGTTTGTTGTCTACATTGAGTGTTTGTTGTCTACAGGGAGTGTTTGTTGTCTACATTGAGTGTTTGTTGTCTACAAGGAGTGTTTGTTGTCTACATTGAGTGTTTGTTGTCTACAGGGAGTGTTTGTTGTCTACATTGAGTGTTTGTTGTCAACAGGGAGTGTTTGTTGTCTACAGGGAGTGTTTGTTGTCTACAGGGAGTGTTTGTTGTCAACAGGGAGTGTTAATTGTCTACATTGAGTGTTTGTTGTCTACAAGGAGTGTTTGTTGTCTACATTGAGTGTTTGTTGTCTACAGGGAGTGTTTGTTGTCTACATTGAGGGTTTGTTGTCAGCAGGGAGTGTTTGTTGTCAACAGGGAGTGTTTGTTGTCTACAGGGAGTGTTTGTTGTCTACATTGAGTGTTTGTTGTCTACAGGGAGTGTTTGTTGTCAACAGGGAGTGTTTGTTGTCTACAAGGAGTGTTTGTTGTCTACAAGGAGTGTTTGTTGTCTACAGGGAGTGTTTTTTGTCAACAGGGAGTGTTTGTTGTCTACAGGGAGTGTTTGTTGTCTACAAGGAGTGTTTGTTGTCTACAAGGAGTGTTTGTTGTCTACAGGGAGTGTTTGTTGTCAACAGGGAGTGTTTGTTGTCTACAGGTAGTGTTTGTTGTCTACAAGGAGTGTTTGTTGTCTAAAAGGAGTGTTTGTTGTCGACAGGGAGTGTTTGTTGTCAACAGGGAGTGTTTGTTGTCAACAGGGAGTGTTTGTTGTCTACAAGGAGTGTTTGTTGTCTACATTGAGTGTTTGTTGTCTACAGGGAGTGTTTGTTGTCTACAGGGAGTGTTTCTTGTCTACATTGAGTGTTTGTTGTCTACAAGGAGTGTTTATCCTTCGCTACACCTACAGAAAGTGTGGAACTTGGAATGATAAAACTGGAGTGAAGTTTCTTTGACCTTGTAGCCATGATGACTGACAGTGTTATTGTTCGTCAGACCTAATTATTCTGCTGACATCATCTTCTCCATTTTCAGACCCGTGAGGCTGGCCTTGAGGAACAAAAGGCCAAGGTGAAGGCCATGGAGAGTGAGACGTCTGCTCTGCGTATACAGCTGGAGGAGCTCGTCAAGGACAAACAGAAGGTCAGTCGATGTTTGAGTCATATCGTCAGTGAGAGTTTGGGAGCACAATTTTGCTGTGCAGATGCAGAGTTGTATCCCACTGTTATGCCAGGATCTGCTGAGTCCAAAATCGCTTAGGACTTCCTCCTTCTTCACGCTTACACGTCACAGTGTATCTGAAATGCTGTTCAAAGCAGATGAAACCAAGTTCATGTTTTGTGGAAACTAACCTCTAATAACAACATTTTTCAATTTTGTATTTTGTTTCTTGCTTATTGGCATATTGAAAATAAATTGTCCTGGGCTCCGTTCAATAGGGTGATCTTAGCACTAATGTCATCGTAACTACCATCTTTTATCATAGACTTATGGCAGTCGTAGCGCTAAGGTAATGGAAACTACCATCTTTTAATATAGACTAAGGCAGTCGTAGCGCTAAGGTGATCGTAACTACAATCTTTTAACACAGACTTGTGGCAGTCGTAGCGCTAAGGTGATCGAAACTACCATCTTTTAACACAAACTTATGGCAGTCGTAGCGCTAAGGTGATCGTAACTTTCATACTGTAACATAGACTTATGGCAGTCGTGCTATGGAACAGGGCCCTGGGCTAAAAAACTGTTGTAAAAGCTACAGCTGTGAGTTTGTTGTGACATCTTGATTGGTCATTGTGTCCAGGCCGACGAGGACAACCAGGAGAGGGAGACACAGCTGAAGGCAGACATAGAACAGCAGAAGAAGATTGTGGTGAAGAAGGAGGAGGAAATCAAGAGACTGCAGGAGCAGCTGGGCACAGCTAAACAGGTGAGGGGAGAGTGTGTGTGTGTGTGTGTGTGTGTGGGGGGGGGGGGGGAGGCAAGAAAGGAGAGTGTGTGCGTGCTCGCGTGTGTGCTTGAGGGGGAGAGTGTGTGTGTGTGTGTGTGAAGGGGAGAGTGAGAGAGGAACAGAGAAGAGGGTGAGGGTAAGAGAAAGAGAAGAGTAGAGAGGGGGGGGGGGGGATAGGTATAAATTGGGGGACAGAGGAAGGTGAGAGTAGAAGGAAGAGTGGAGGGGGAGAGGAAGAGAGGGGAAAGATGAAGAGATGAGGACAAGAGAATAGGAGGAGGAATAGAGAGGAGGGGGGTAGGTATAAATTGGGGGACAGGAAGGTGAGGGAATAGGAGGAATGGAGGAGGGGGAGAGGAAGAGAGAGGAGGTTGAGAGGGAGAGGTGTGTGTGAGGATGAAAGAGAAGAGGAAGAGAGAGGAGGAGGTTGAGAGAGAGGGAGGTGCAAGGCTGTGAGAGGAGGATGGAAGAGGAATAGAGATAAGGAGGAAGAGAGAGGAGGGTAATAGAGTGAGGGGGAAGAGATAAGGGGATGACAGGTGGAGAGACCAATGTGGTAAGAAATGGTCAGCGGAGGTAGGGATGAAACCTTAGCTGGAGAACACTTTGAAGGACACCTGATGTGAGGCTCCATATGATGGTTGAGGAATGGCTAACAAAGGGGTCAGCATGTGAAGTGTATCAGTTCCTCGTTTCTCGCATCTTCCCGAGCAAAGGGAGTTAATTGACTGTAAAAGTCCAGTTTCCACCCTTGCCGAACTAGGCTGGAATTCTTGGGCTCGATCGTAGCGCCACCAGTTGCTATTATGTCACTTCCATGCCTCTCCTATGGACCCATCAGATTCCACCTCTCATATCACTTGCATTTGCTTCAAGTTCTATACTGTGATAAAACGGGTCTAACATCGCAAGGTGCATCAAATCACGTGAGCACTTTGATTAAAAACATGAAAAGATTAGGAAAATATCTGTTGAAAACGAGTCGTTAGACCCGTTAGTTCAGCCAAAATGACAGTCCATAATACCAGCCTAGCTCGGCAAGGGTGGAAACTGGACTTTTGTAGTCAGTTAACTCTCTTGCCTCGGGAAGACATGGAGTCTGTTTTTCAATATTTTGATATTTCACTTACTTTTATGGTAACCTTTTGCAAATTAACACAATTTGTCATACAAATATGTGATAAATCATGTATAAAAACAACCGAAAACATGGAAAATGTACTTTCAAGTAGCTATTGAATCGCTGAAATGTGAAGCTAAAATGTCAAAAACTAAAATGGAAAGGTCAAAAACAAAAACGAAAATGTCACAAACTTAAATGAAAATACAGAAAACTATTTCCACTGCGGTTTTAATATTCCCACCGTGGTGGAAATATTATCACCACGGTGTAAATATTATCATCGCGATGGGAATATTATCACAGCGGTGGAAATAGTTTTCTGTATTTTCATTTTATTTTTTGACATTATCGTTTTTGTTTTTGACATTTTCATTTTAGTTATTGACATTTTCGCTTCACTTTACAGCGATTCAATATCTACTTTATACATGATTTATCACATATTTGTATGATAAATCTTGTTAATTTGAAATATCAAAATATTGAAAAACAGACTCCATGTCCCTTATGGGCCACCGTAGGTTTTGTGTGATATCTTTTTTTTTCTGCCCATGTCAGGAAGCCAGTCAGAGCAACATGATGGACCTGGAAATGGCAGACTACGAGCGGACGGTCCGCACTCTCAACGCACAGCTACAAGAGAAGGACTCCATCATGGAGAAGATGAAGTCAGAGGTGGACCTGATGGAGGAGAACTCGGCCAGACTCAAGGAACAAATGGGTACGTGCTTGTTGATCCCTGTGGTGGGAGAACAGTTCCGGCTGTACACCTGCCTGTTTCCATTGTTGAGGGGTGGTCGGGTAGCCTAGTGGTTTAAGCGTTTGCTCGTCACGCCGAAGACTCGGGTTCGATTCTAGACGGGTACAATGTGTAAAGCCCATTTTCTGGTGTCCCCTGCCATGATGTTTTGGTGTCCCCTGCCGTGATATTGTTAGAATATTGCTAAAAGCAGCATAAAACCATACTCACTCAGTCACTCAATTGTTGAAGTCGATGTTACAAGTATGACTGTACCTCATTTGGATCAGAGGCGGAATTTTAATTAGGGGATTCTAAGGGACGATTATTAAACCCTAAGTCTGCTGCAAACACTGGTAACCATTTCCAATACGGAATAAACAATGGTCCATTTCAGGTTACTATGATGATAATTTTTTATTTCTAACTTGCTTTTCACTGATGAAAGGGTCCAAAGAAAAGAACAGGCTTTACTGCATAATTTATGTAATTTTATTAAATACAATTTTATAATAACTTTGCCTTTTTTGGAAATAGGTTTTGATTCTAAACAACCCGCTGTGATATATCTGGAATAGTGTTGATCTAATATCTTAGTGAGTGAGTATGGTTTTACGCTGCTTTTAGGAATATTCCAGCAATATCTGGGCGGGGGACACCAGAAATGGGCTTCACACATTGTACCCATGTGGGGAATGGAACCCAGGTCTATAGCATGACAAGTGAACTCTAAAACACTAGGCTAACCCACCACCACGATATGATATACAAACAAACACAACAAAGTCAGACGAGCCAGCAAAACTGCCAGACACCTGCCTTGATGTAGCAGTGACGATGATAGCCTAAAATAACATTCACTCACTTGTGTCTCCTCCTGACAGAGAAGGTGGAGGAACTTCGTCTCCAGGCCGAGGACCGCGGCAACAAACTGAAGCAACTCCTGGTTAAGACCAAGAAGGATCTGGCTGACGCCAAGAAAGTGGTGAGTGTGTTTCACAGCTGTTCTCATGTCAAGCTCTCACATGGACAATGAGTTACAGTACCGATTTCAGGGACCGGTCATATATTACAGGGGTGGGTGGTCAGACGTTTTTGATGCACCAATGCACTGAAAATAATGACCCTCCCCTAATGCTTGTCATAGTTTTGGATGACACTCCCTGAAAAAACAAAATGGAAAAGTGCTGCATATTTTGTTATAAAATGTCCATTTATTTCATGACCCTCCCCAAATATATGTTTTATTAACTTCCCCTAATAGTGCATTATGTTTGGGCGGCCCTCCCTTCTTTCAGTGTGCTCTACTTCCCCATCTATAATAAATGATCGGTCCCTTACACTTTTACAGTGTTTGGTTGCACCATCTATAATAAATGACCAGTCCCTTACACTTTAACAGTGTTTGGTTGCACCATCTATAATAAATGATCGGTCCCTTACACTTTTACAGTGTTTTGTTGCACCATCTATAATAAATGACCAGTCCCTTACACTTTTCCAGTGTTTGGTTGCACCATCTATAATAAATGACCGATCCCTTACACTTTTACAGTGTTTGGTTGCACCATCTATAATAAATGACCAGTCCCTTACACTTTTACAGTGTTTGGTTGCACCATCTATAATAAATGACTGGTCCCTTACACTTTTACAGTGTTTGGTTGCACCATCTATAATAAATGACCGGTCCCTTACACTTTTAAAGTGTTTGGTTGCACCATCTATAATAAATGACCGGTCCCTTACACTTTTACAGTGTTTGGTTGCACCATCTTTAATAAATGACTGGTCCCTTACACTTTTACAGTGTTTGGTTGCACCATCTATAATAAATGACTGGTCCCTTACACTTTTACAGTGTTTGGTTGCACCATCTATAATAAATGACCGGTCCCTTACACTTTTCCAGTGTTTGGTTGCACCATCTTTAATAAATGACTGGTCCCTTACACTTTTACAGTGTTTGGTTGCACCATCTATAATAAATGACCGGTCCCTTACACTTTTACAGTGTTTGGTTGCACCATCTATAATAAATGACCGGTCCCTTACACTTTTACAGTGTTTGGTTGCACCATCTATAATAAATGACCGGTCCCTTACACTTTTACAGTGTTTGGTTGCACCATCTATAATAAATGACCGGTCCCTTACACTTTTACAGTGTTTGGGTGCACCATCTATAATAAATGACCGGCCCCTTACACTTTTACAGTGTTTGGTTGCACCATCTATAATAAATGACCGGTCCCTTACACTTTTACAGTGTTTGGTTGCACCATCTATAATAAATGACCGGTCCCTTACACTTTTCCAGTGTTTGGTTGCACCATCTATAATAAATGACCGGTCCCTTACACTTTTACAGTGTTTGGGTGCACCATCTATAATAAATGATCTGTCCCTTACACTTACAATTCCATGGATACAATGCATGAAGCGGAGTAAACTCATACTCACTCACTCTTTCATTCACTCACTGAAATGTGGTTGATGGTGCTGTGTTGTATTGAGGAGTTCTGTGTTGTATTTAGGTTTTTGACGGTGCTGTCTTCTATTGAGGGGTGCTGTGTTGTATTGAGGGTTTCTGTGTTGTATTGAGGGGTTCTGTGTTGTATTGAGGGGTGTTGTGTTGTATTGAGGGGTGTCGTGTTGTATTGAGGGGTGTTGTGTTGTTTTGAGGGTGTTGTGTTGTATTGAAGGGTGCTGTGTTGTATTGAGGGGTTCTGTGTTGTATTGAGGGGTGTTGTGTTGTATTGAGGTTGATAGTAGTGCTGTGTTGTATTGAGGGGTGCTGTGTTGTATTAAGGGGTGCTGTGTTGTATTGAGGGGTTCTGTGTTGTATTGAAGGGTGCTGTGTTGTATTGAGGGGTTCTGTGTTGTATTGAGGGATGTTGTGTTGTATTGAGGTTGATAGTAGTGCTGTGTTGTATTGAGGGTTGTTGTGTTGTATTGAGGTTGATGGTAGTGCTGTGTTGTATTGAGGACTGTTGTGTTGTATTGAGGGGTGTTGTGTTGTATTGAGGTTGATAGTAGTGCTGTGTTGTATTGAGGAGTGTTGTGTTGTATTTAGAGGTGTTGTGTTGTATTGAGGGTGTTCTGTTGTATTAAGGTTGATAGTAGTGCTGTGTTGTATTGAGGGGTACTGTGTTGTATTGAGGGGTGCTGTGTTGTATTGAGGGGTTCTGTGTTGTATTGAGGGGTGTTGTGTTGTATTGAGGGGTTCTGTGTTGTATTGAGGGATGTTGTGTGGTATTGAGGGGTTCTGTGTTGTATTGAGGGTGCTGTGTTGTATTGAGGGGTACTGTGTTGTATTGAGGGGTGCTGTGTTGTATTGAGGGGTGTTGGGTTGTATTGAGGGGTGTTGTGTTGTATTGAGGTTGATGGTAGTGCTGTGTTGTATTGAGGTTGATGATGCTGTGTTGTATTGAGGGGTTCTGTGTTGTATTGAGGTTGATGGTTCTGTGTTGTATTGAGGTTGATGGTGCTGTGTTCCAGGAATCTGAGCAGAGGACGTCCTCAGCTCAACTGCAGGGTCAGATGGAGCACCTGAACCAGCAGACAGAGGACTACAAGGTGAGGGGGGCAAGGACGTGAGGGATGCGGCAGGGATTTAGGGAGGGAGACTTACTCAGAAGCTCACATTTGTTTTGGTTGTGAAATTCCCTTTTAAAAAATCCTGGATCAGTCTTTGAACAAAATACCTTCCGATAATTATAGGATGAGGGCAATTGTATTATATTTGTTTAGCTTTGAATATGAAATCATTGTGATGTTTGTGTGAATGACAACATTGTGGAAGATGGTGTGGTCTGTGCTGTGCTGTGCTGTGCTGAGACAGAAACTGATTGTATCTACAGCTGCAGTTTTCCGAGCTGGCAGGCGAGAACCAGCGTCTCCAGGAGAAGATGAAGACGATATCGGACTCCCACCAGCGCACGGTGCGGTCACTGGAGACGCGTGTGCACACACTACAGGACGACCTGGACATCGCTCACGGGGAGCTGAAAGCCACACAGGCCGAGTACGACAGCTACAAGGTGGGCAGTTAGTGAGAGTGAGACTTGTAGGCATTTGACATTTGCCAGTGTAAATACTGCTGCTTTAACAATAGTAGTGTGAGAGTTAACAACACTGGCTGTACTCCTGTAATAGTTTACCACTATTGTAAACCTGTGAGCATCTGACCTTGACGTTTACTTTGACCTTGACCTTGCTTCAAAGTCTACGCTTCTGCCATTCCAAGGTTCAGTTGATCGCTATGCATCTTCCCGAGGCAAGAGAGTCAACTGACTTTAAAAGTCCAGGTTCCCCCCTTGCTGAACTACCATACCCATACTCGTGGGTTTCACTGAAGTGGTAAACGTCTGAGACCTGCATCACTTGTGGCTTTCCTCCCACATTAAGCTGACACGCCGCGATATAACTGGAATACTGTTAAAATCGGCGTTAAACCCAACTCACTCACTCACTCACCTTGCTGAACTGGGATGAAATTTCTGGGCTTAATCGTAGCTCCACCTGTGACTATTATGAGTTATGTCCCTTCTATGTCCCCTCTACTGACCAATCAGATTCCACCTCTCATGTCACATGTACTCGCTTTAAACAAAATGGCGCCGCCCAGTCAAGATGATGTCATCGATAATAAAGATCTTTTTGGTAACAAAACGAGTTTTAACCCGCGAAGTGCATCATACCATTTGAGCACCTTGATAAAAAATATAAAAAGATTTGGAAAATATGTATCCACACCCAGTTGACTGTCCCCCTGCTCTGCAAATTCGGCAATCAAACAAATTTGGCACGGCAAGTGCCATGTTGTTTATGAATTGGATATCAAAATCGTTGCAGGATTTTGATTGGATTGTGTGTAGACTCGTTAGTCCAGCCAAACTATAACTCCATAATCCCAGACTAGTTCGGCAAGGTTGGAAACTGAACTTTTTATGTTAGTAAACACCCATGGGAAGATGAACGCTATGATAGTTGTTCAGGAGTAAGGGAGGTTACTCTGATTGCTGGTTTCATCCCTGTCCCCAGAATCGTGTGCTTGTTGTAAGCACTACTAGAGAGTGATTTACCTGTTTGTGTGTCATCATGCCCTAAGATGCCTCCATCTGCCCGGAGAGTGGAAGGTCCGGCTGTACGATCCCTGGCCGCATTATACCGAATGACGTTAAAAGATGGTACTTGTTATCCTGCCTGGCGCTTCGCATTAAGGAGCTGAAACAAAGACTGGTCAGCTTGGAGTCAGTATACTGTGTCTGAGTGGGGTATTCATGTTAAGCTGTGGCATGGTATCTCAGTGGGCTAGCACTATAAAATCGGCATTAGTCTGGAGTAGTACAAGCGCGCACACGCACACACACACACACACACACACACACACACACACACACACACACACACACACACACACACACACACACACACACACACACACACACACACACACACTCACTCATGCATGAACGTCGCTATATAAGTGCAATAATCTGAACGCGATGTTAAAACCCTCTTCACCTCACCTGACCTCATCACGCTCTTATGACCTGTATCGCTGCTTCTTAGTACAAACAGTGTTTTGACAGGTCCAAACTGGATTATGTGCAGTGTTACAGAAAATCAGTTATTTTCCACAAGTGTGTTGTGTGCTGTGTTGTAGGTTCGAGCCCACAGCGTCCTGCGGCAACAGAAGACGAAGTCTCCACAAGATTTGACCAAGGAGGTTGAGATGCAGGAGAAGTAAGTCAGCCGTTTCACATGACCAGCTCAGACTCCAGCGTAGCGATGACCTAGCAGTACATCACTCCCACAAATTATGATGTATGAACCAGTGATGTATGAACCAGTGTTGTATGAACCAGAGATGTATGAACCAGTGTTGTATGAACCAGAGATGAAGGAACCAGTGTATTAATCATTGATGTATGAACCAGTAATGTATGAACCAGTAATGTATGAACCAGTGATGTATGAACCAGCGTATGAACCAGTGATGTATGAACCAGTGTTGTATGAACCAGCGTATGAACCAGTGATGTATGAACCAGTGATGTATGAACCAGTGATGTATGAACCAGTGTTGTATGAACCAGCGTATGAACCAGTGATGTATGAACCAGTGTATGACCCAGTCATGTATGAACCAGTGTATGAACCAGTGATTATGAACCAGTGATGTATGAACCAGTGGTGTATGAACCAGTGATGTATGAACAAGTGTTGTATGAACCAGTGATGTATGAACCAGTGTTGTATGAACCAGTGATGTATGAACAAGTGTTGTATGAACCAGTGATGTATGAACAAGTGTTGTATGAACCAGTGATTATGAACCAGTGATGTATGAACAAGTGTTGTATGAACCAGTGATGTACGAACCAGTGTTGTACGAACCAGTGTTGTACGAACCAGTGTATGAACCAGTGATGTATGAACCAGTGTTGTATGAACCAGTAATGTATGAACCAGTGATGTATGAACCAGTGTTGTATGAACCAGTGTATGAACCAGTGTATGAACCAGTGATGTATGAACCAAAGATGTATGAACCAGTGATGTATGAACCAGTGTATGAACCAGTGATGTATGAACCAGTGATGTATGAACCAGTGGTGTATGAACCAGTGATGTATGAACCAATGTTGTATGAACTAGTGTTGTATGAACCAGTGTTGTATGAACCAGTGATGTATGAACCAGTGATGTATGAACCAGTGGTGTATTCCCTGTGTTACTGAGAACAAATGTGAGCAGCAAGAAACGTATTAGTAGTAATGATATTTAGGAATTAGAAATATTTTGGAGAAATACTATCTGAGCAGTTGAGTTGTCATGTGAGATTCAATGCATAAAATGGTTTTTTTCATCTATTAATCATCAAAGGCTGCATCCACATGATTCTCAGGATGTTTTGTGACAGTGTTCCTTTTGGTTTCAGAGAGAGGCTGGAGGCTGCTGTAGAACAACTGAAGTTCAAACTGCAGCAGGTCAGGTAAGTGACACCCTGTCCCGCACACCTACAATTGCTGATCTTCAAGCTCCGGTCGGATGCATGAGGTTATAATTCTCATTCTATATAATTAATGTTTTTTTCAGGTCTGGTCGGTTGCATCAAACAAAATCATCCACAGACTCACAGAGCACTTCTCCCTCCCCGACACCCAGACCCACAGACCTCACCTCCCCGGGAGGGGAGGTCTGTTGGTGTGGGTGTCGGGGAGGGGAGGTCTGTTGGTCTGGGTGTCGGGGAGGTGAGGTCTGTGGGTCTGCGTGTCTGCGTGTCGGGGAGGTGAGGTCTGTGGGTCTGCGTGTCGGGGAGGTGAGGTCTGTGGGTGTGGGTGTCGGGGAGGGGAGGTCTGTGGGTGTGTGTTTTGGGGAGGGGAGGTCTGTTGGTCTGGGTGTCGGGGAGGTGAGGTCTGTGGGTGTGGGTGTCGGGGAGGTGAAGTCTGTGGGTGTGGGTGTCGGGGAGGTGAGGTCTGTGGGTGTGGGTGTCGGGGAGGTGAAGTCTGTGGGTGTGGGTGTCGGGGAGGTGAGGTCTGTGGGTGTGGGTGTCGGGGAGGTGAGGTCTGTGGGTGTGGGTGTCGGGGAGGGGAGGTCTGTGGGTGTGGGTGTCGGGGAGGTGAGGTCTGTGGGTGTCGGGGAGGGGAGGTCTGTGAGTGTGGGTGTCGGAGAGGTAAGGTCTGTGGGTGTGGGTGTCGGGGAGGGGAGGTCTGTGGGTGTGGGTGTCGGGGAGGTGAGGTCTGTGGGTGTCGGGGAGGTGAGGTCTGTGGGTGTGGGTGTCGGGGAGGTGAGGTCTGTGGGTGTGGGTGTCGGGGAGGGGAGGTCTGTGGGTGTCGGTGAGGTGAGGTCTGTGGGTGTGGGTGTCGGGGAGGTGAGGTCTGTGGGTGTGGGTGTCGGGGAGGTGAGGTCTGTGGGTGTGGGTGTCGGGGAGGGGAGGTCTGTGGGTGTGGGTGTCGGGGAGGTGAGGTCTGTGGGTGTGGGTGTCGGGGAGGGGAGGTCTGTGGGTGTGGGTGTCGGGGAGGGGAGGTCTGTGAGTGTGGGTGTCGGGGAGGTGAGGTCTGTGGGTGTGGGTGTCGGGGAGGGGAGGTCTGTGGGTGTGTGTTTTGGGGAGGGGAGGTCTGTTGGTCTGGGTGTCGGGGAGGTGAGGTCTGTGGGTGTGGGTGTCGGGGAGGGGAGGTCTGTGGGTGTGTGTTTTGGGGAGGGGAGGTCTGTTGGTCTGGGTGTCGGGGAGGTGAGGTCTGTGGGTCTGCGTGTCGGGGAGGTGAGGTCTGTGGGTGTCGGGGAGGTGAGGTCTGTGGGTGTGGGTGTCGGGGAGGTGAGGTCAGTGAGTGTGGGTGTCGGGGAGGTGAGGTCTGTGGGTGTGGGTGTCGGGGAGGGGAGGTCTGTTGGTGTGGGTGTCGGGGAGGGGAGGTCTGTGGGTGTGGGTGTCGGAGAGGTAAGGTCTGTGGGTGTGGGTGTCGTGGAGGGGAGGTCTGTTGGTGTGGGTGTCGGGGAGGTGAGGTCTGTGGGTGTGGGTGTCGGGGAGGGGAGGTCTGTGGGTGTGGGTGTCGGGGAGGTGAGGTCTGTGGGTGTGGGTGTCGGGGAGGGGAGGTCTGTGGGTGTGGGTGTCGTGGAGGGGAGGTCTGTGGGTGTGGGTGTCGGGGAGGTGAGGTCTATGGGTGTGGGTGTCGGGGAGGTGAGGTCTGTGGGTGTGGGTGTCGGGGAGGTGAGGTCTGTGGGTGTGGGTGTCGGGGAGGTGAGGTCTGTGGGTGTGGGTGTCGGGGAGGGGAGGTCTGTGGGTGTGGGTGTCGGGGAGGGGAGGTCTGTGGGTGTGGGTGTCGGGGAGGTGAGGTCTGTGGGTGTGGGTGTCGGGGAGGGGAGGTCTGTGGGTGTGGGTGTTGGGGAGGTGAGGTCTGTGGGTGTGGGTGTTGGGGAGGTGAGGTCTGTGGGTGTGGGTGTCGGGGAGGTGAGGTCTGTGGGTGTGGGTGTTGGGGAGGTGAGGTCTGTGGGTGTGGGTGTCGGGGAGGGGAGGTCTGTGGGTGTGGGTGTCAGGGAGGTGAGGTCTGTGGGTGTGGGTGTCGGGGAGGTGAGGTCTGTGGGTCTGGGTGTCGGGGAGGTGAGGTCTGTGGGTGTGGGTGTCGGGGAGGTGAGGTCTGTGGGTGTGGGTGTCGGGGAGGTGAGGTCTGTGGGTGTGGGTGTCGGGGAGGTGAGGTCTGTGGGTGTGGGTGTCGGGGAGGGGAGGTCACCTCCCCGACACCCACACCCACAGACCTCCCCTCCCCGACACCCACACCCACAGACCTCCCCTCCCCGACACCCACACCCACACACCGACCCACCCACTCACATACACAGACCGACCCACCCACTCACACCCACAGACCTCACCTCCCCGACACCCACATCCACAGACTGACCCACCCCGGCACCCACACCCACAGACCTCACCTCCCCGACACCCACACCCACACACCGACCCACCCACTCATTCACTCATTCCATGTTTTAGCGAGCGGCTGAGTTCGTCCCATTCAGACATGGAGGTTCTCCAGGAGGAGCATGAGCGTCTCCAGCAGCGACATGACAACCTCCTGCTGGACCTGGACACCAAGGAGGCCGCCTACAGGAAGAGGTGAGGTTCACAGCTGGAGTAACAGCCTATCTTCCAAGTCTGGAACCCTGAACTTTATCCACCTCTCAGGGTAGTCCTAAGTCAAAGGGGAACTTTATCGACCTCTCAGGGTGGTCCTAAGTCAAAGGGGAACTTTATCGACCTCTCAGGGTGGTCCTAAGTCAAAGGGAACTTAATCTATCTCTCAGCAGGGGTGGTCCTAAGTCAAAGGGAACTTTATCGATATCTCAGCAGGGGTGGTCCTAAGTCAAAGGGAACTTTATTGATATCTCAGCAGGGGTGGTCCTAAGTCAAAGGGAACTTTATCGATCTCTCAGTGATAACATGTCAGTCCTAACCACATTGTGTGGTATATTTACATTCGAGTGTACTGGAAGTGACCTCTGAACTTGACTACGTGTGCGCATGCTTGAGCGGAAGCTAGGGCAGAGATGGGAAAAAGTTGACAGGAAGCAGCGTGTTTACGGATGGCGGGGATTTGACATGAACTGTCAGTGGTGTGTAGAATGAGAGAAGGGCTAACCAGGGCCAATAGTGGAAAGGGCCATTAAGGTAATTAACATTGGTAGCAGAGCGTGGTTGCGGGAAAACGGGACTAGCAATATGGCACATGGTTACAAGAATCCCCCGACTTTGACAAATGAGATGGAATATGAGACGTGGAAAAACGAACTTGAAATATGGTGTCACATGACCGAGGTTGTAGAGGAAAAACAGGCACTCGCAGTCTCACTGGGATCACTTACGGGACAAGCTAGGGCAAAAGCAATGGCAATTGATGTGAAAGACTTGAATTCCAAACGGGGTTTGAAAATTCTTGTCCAAGCACTTGATGAACTTTATAAGAGGGACACTGTTGACTTAGCATACACGGCATACAGGGATTTTGATAGTTTCACAAAGGCTGAAGAAATGACAATGTCAGAATTTATCATTGAATATGAACGGCGATATACCCAGTGTAAGAAATATCAGATGGTTTTGCCAGATTCAGTACTCTCATTCAAGTTGCTTGATTCATCAGGATTGACTCAGAAAGAAAGACAGTTAGTTTTGACAGCAGCTAACGATAGAAACTTTGAATCTATGAAATCAGCATTGAAGAGAATATTTGGTAATGTTAAAAGTCAGGATTCTGACAGTGCCATATGTGTGAAACAGGAATCAGCATATTACACAAGAAATAGCCAGAGTGGTTATAGAGGACGTCAACAAGGACAGAGATACTCGGGTCCAAGGTACAGGAATGACCCACGTGACAGATACAGTTCAGCTTACAGTGGTAATAGAAATGATACACCTGAAAGGGGAACGAATCCAATTAACAGGTTTGGAAAGCGCAGCCGATGTGTAATTTGTCAGTCAACTTTCCATTGGGCTAAAGATTGCCCACACCAAGAGAAACCAAGAAACAATGAGGAAGTGAAAATGATAGAAACAGAAGAACAGACAGAGCAATGTAACTTGACACTGTTTACAAAGGAGCAAAGTACGGAGAACAAAATTCTACTAACAGAAGCATTGGGATGTGCAGTATTAGACACTGCCTGTACAAGTACAGTGTGTGGACAGCAATGGTTGGACCAATACATAGAGACACTCAGTAGTCAGGAAAGGGATGAAATTATTTCAAATCCTAGCAATAAGAGCTTTAGATTTGGAGATGGAGTGAAAGTTTTCTCATCATCCAATGTTATGATACCAGCAGTAATTGGTGACACTCGGTGCACTATAAACACAGAAGTTGTAGAATCGGACATTCCTCTTTTGCTTGGAAAACCATCACTGAAGAAAGCTGGATTAATTCTTGATTTACCAAATGACACAGCTATCATGTTTCATAAACCAGTGAACTTAGAACTGACATCAACTGGACATCATTGCATTGATCTAGTTGGACAAAGAGATTTTCCTGGTGAACAAACTTCAGATCGTGGCCTGGAGCAGTGTACAGTTGAACAGTTAGATTCAGAAGCACTCTTCATAAAAGAAAATATTGGTGAAAAGGATCAAAAGAAAGCGCTGGAGAAGCTTCACAAGCAGTTTGGACACGCCACAGCGGAAAGATTACAGAGGCTTATTCAAAATGCAGGGAATAAAGATCCCGACATCTTGAAGACACTAAAAGAAATAGTTGAGAAATGTGAAACATGTGAAAGGTATAGGAAACAACCAACTAAGCCAGCAGTTGGATTTCCTAAGGCTACAGATTTTAATGAGACAGTGGCTGTTGACTTACACGAACTTGGAAAGGGCATGTGGTATTTGCACATTATTGATGAATTTACCAGATTTAGTGCTGGAGCTATTATTAGAAGTAAGCAATCATCAGTGTTTGTTCAGAACTTTATTCAGCATTGGATAAGTATTCATGGAGCACCACAAAAACTCTTAAGTGACAATGGAGGAGAATTCAACAATGCTGAAGTGAGAGACATGTGTGAGAATTTTAACATTGAAGTAAAGACCACAGCAGCTGAGAGTCCATGGAGCAATGGATTGCTTGAACGCCACAATCAGACTTTGACAAATATCATGAGAAAGGTGAAATCTGAGGAGAACTGTGACTGGGAAACGGCACTTAGTTGGGCATTAATTGCCAAGAACAGCCTCAGTAACATTTCTGGATACAGCGCATACCAGTTGGTTTTTGGACGAAACCCAAATTTACCATCAGTTCTGACTGACAAGGCACCATCGCTCGAGGGCACCACAACAAGTGCAACTGTGGGAAAACATATTAATACAATGTTTGCATCAAGACAGGCTTTCATAGAAGCTGAAAGTTCTGAAAGATTGAGAAGAGCCCTCAGAAAGCAGATTCGTCCAGTTGCTGGAAATTTTGAGACCGGTGACAAGGTCTACTTCAAGAGGTCAGATGATCCTAAATGGAAGGGTCCAGGAACTGTGATAGGACAAGACGGTACTGTGGTTTTCGTGAGAAATGGAGGAATTGTGGTGAGGGTTCATAGAAGTAGAATGAGGCGTTGTGTAGAAAAGGAAATTCCTGAAAATAACAATGAACATAATGAGAGGCAAGTAGAACAAGAGGAAACTGTGCAAAGACATGATAGTGTCGAGGAAGACAGTGACCTAGAGATACAAACAAAAGAACCACAGATAGGAGAAGTTTCTGAATTGAACAATCTACAGGAACGATTATCACAAATAAAGTCTGGGCAGACAATTTCATATTCACATCAAGACACTGGAGATCAAGTCTGTGCAAAAGTTCTTAGCAGAGCAGGAAAAGCAACAGGCAAAAACAGGAGCTGGTACAACTTAGAATTCATGAATTCTGAAATGCAAGGTATAAGTCAGTCAGTTGATTTGTCCAAGGTAGAAGAATTGCGGATAATCCCCTGTGAAATCATGGAGGAAAACGTCATGATTACAGAAGATGTTGCATGGACTAAACCCAAGCTAACTGAACTTGATAATTGGAAGCAAAATGGAGTTTACAAAGAAGTTGTCGATGATGGGCAAAGATGTGTGTCAACCAGGTGGGTCTGTACACTTAAAGAAACACCAGAGAAGATAATACCTAAGGCAAGGTTAGTTGCCCGAGGATTCGAAGAAGGTGAGAATACGGACTTTCAAAAAGATTCCCCAACATGTGCTAAAGAATCGCTGAAACTTATCTTGGCAGTATTTTGCCAGAAAAAATGGAAACCTCATTCAATGGATATTAAAACTGCATTTCTTCAAGGTGAAGAGATGAAGAGAGGCGTTTACATTAGACCTCCGAAAGAAGCAAACGTACCTGGAAAACTCTGGCATCTTCAGAAGTGTGTCTATGGACTAAGTGATGCATCACTACATTGGTATCAGAAAGTCAAGTCAGTCATGTTGGAACTAGGAGCTAAGGTATCGAGAGTTGACCCAGCAGTATTTTTCTGGGAAGGACAAGATCAAGAAACTGTTGGAATATTGGCATGTCATGTTGATGACTTTATTTGGGGTGGATCTGCAGAATTCAGATCAAATGTAATGGAATCTGTGAGATCACACTTAAAGGTTGGAAAAGAAGAAAACCAAGCTTTTCAATACTTGGGAATGAACTTATCTTGCCAGGACGGATACATTTTCTTACATCAACAGAAATATGCAGAAAGCCTCAACTTTGTCCAGATTGATAAATCTAGATCCGCTCAGAAATCTTTACCCCTGAACGATATTGAGAAGCATGAACTCAGATCCAAGATAGGACAAATACTGTGGATAGCTAAACAGAGTCGGCCTGATGTTATATTTGATGCTTGTCGACTAGCAGCATGTACGAAGGATGCCAAAGTTGAACATCTTTTGACAGCAAACAAGATTATTAGGAAGATTAAGTCAGAACATGTCAACCTGAAATTTCAAAATGTAGGAAAGGAACTTTCACTTGTAGTTTTCAGTGATGCTTCGTTAGGAAACCTGCCCGATGGAGGCACACAGGGTGGACACATGATTTTCCTCACAGGCAGTACAGGAAAGGTGACACCTTTATGTTGGAACTCGAAGAAGATTCGTCGGGTGGTGCGAAGCACACTGGCTGGTGAAACTTTGGCGATGGCCGATGGTATTGATACAGGAGTGTACCTATCAATGTTGTTTGGAGAACTGAGTGGTGAGAAACACAACAGAATGACATTGACCTGTATCACAGACTCTAAATCACTGTATGATGCTCTAAAATCCACTAAACCTGTTAAAGAAAAAAGACTGAGAATGGAAATAAGTGGGATCAAGGAGTTAGTGGAATGTGGACAGATAGGAGATGTGACATGGGTGGACACAAATAACCAGTTGGCAGACTGTCTGACCAAAGAGGGCGCTTCACCTATGAAGTTACTACGGGTCCTTGAAGAAGGAACTCTGTGAAGATATTATTATAAACTGCATCATCTTTTAACCTGTTTTTATGAAGATCTTAAAGAAGAAAAAACAAAATATGTTTGTTGGAACAGTCTGCATCCTTCTTTTACATAAAACTATTTTATACAAATCAAAAATATTTGAGGTTATATGTGAAGAAACTGTTCTTGAGATATACTGTACAGAGACTGTTCAGAGACTGGAAACTGTTCTTGGGATATACTGTACAGAGACTGGTTTTAAGAAATTTATTTTTACTTTTACCGAGAAAGTCTGAGGGAAGGCTTTACATATTAACAAATGAAATTTTGACACAGCCAGCAAAGTTTGTCACTCCAGCCTTATCACATTTGAAGACAAACTTTAAAGAAGTGGGAGATTGATAACATGTCAGTCCTAACCACATTGTGTGGTATATTTACATTCGAGTGTACTGGAAGTGACCTCTGAACTTGACTACGTGTGCGCATGCGTGAGCGGAAGCTAGGGCAGAGATGGGAAAAAGTTGACAGGAAGCAGCGTGTTTACGGATGGCGGGGATTTGACATGAACTGTCAGTGGTGTGTAGAATGAGAGAAGGGCTAACCAGGGCCAATAGTGGAAAGGGCCATAAAGGTAATTAACACTCAGCACGGGTGGTCCTAAGTCAAAGGAGAACCTTATAGATCTCTCTGCATGGGTGGCCCAACGTCAAAGAGGAACTTTATCGATATCGCAGCAGGGGTGGCTGACACTGGTGTATGACTGGAATACTGTTGAAAGCAGCCGATGACTTAGGTAATGACTCCTGTGTGTTGGCTGCAGGTTGGAGGACGTGTCTGCAGAGAAGACCAGCAGTGCTGTGGAGCAGCAGGAACTCATCTCGCAGCTGACCTCACAGAACGAGACACTCGCCGTCTCACTCAAGGTTAGTGATGTGTTTAGTGAGTGAGTGAAATGAGACACTCGCCGTCTTACTCAAGGTTAGTGACGTGTGTTGAGTGAGTGAATGAAATGAGACACTCGCTGTCTCACTCAAGGTTAGTGACGTGTGTTGAGTGAGTGAATGAAATGAGACACTCGCCGTCTCACTCAAGGTTAGTGACGCGTGTTGAGTGAGTGAGTGAAATGAGACACTCGTCGTCTCACTCAAGGTTAGTGACGTGTGTTGAGTGAGTGAGTGAAATGAGACACTCGCCGTCTCACTCAAGGTAAGTGATGTGTGTTGAGTGAGTGAGTGAATTGAGACACTCGCCATCTCACCCAAGGTTAGTGATGTGTGTTGAGTGAGTGAATGAATTGAGACACTCGCTGTCTCAATCAAGGTTAGTGATGTGTGTTGAGTGAGTGAGTGAAATGAGACACTCGCCATCTCACCCAAGTTTAGTGACGTGTCTAGTGAGTGAGTGAGTGAAATGAGACACTCGCCATCTCACCCAAGTTTAGTGACGTGTCTAATGAGTGAGTGAGTGAAATGAAACACTCGCCAGCTCACTCAAGGTTAGTGTCATGTATAATCATAAAACCCGTAACTGTCATCGGAACACCCTCTGTTAAATATTTCAAGGTTGCATGATTAGAAAACACATTCCGTCTGTCAATTCCATGATCTGGTAAGCTACGCTCTGATTGGTTGGATGAAAGGTTGTTCTGATGTGACCTGAAATGGGATGTCCTCAGATCTTTGTTTTGCGATAGCAAGGACTAAGATCTGATTTTAATGAGATTGAACTACGATCTGATTTTAATGAGATTACGAACAATATGGATAGTTGCTCATGAAATTATCCAAGGAACACAGGATACAATCGTCTGTACATCCACTGTCATTTACAATCAACAGATTAACTGACAATAAGATACAGACTGAGACACAATTAGCTCAGCTTTCAGGAACAACATGCCTTTCACATGTTTCCCGAAAACTAACTGCTATGTTACTGCTGTAACTTAGTATACAGGTTCTTCACAATTTCATAGAATCTTTACACATGCACACAGAATTTTAGGAATCCAAGGATACTTACAAACCTCAAATATCGAAAGAAACTGAAAGTAATTTTGTGTGGAAAGCAAAGGGAGACAACTCTGTAATTGTATAACATGTAGACCACTGGAAAATAAGGTTGAAAATAGAACGTTATGCCATCCGTTTCCGTTTCTTTGATCTTGATGTGATTAGTAGGCCATGCATTATTGCTGACTGTAGCAATATTCCCTCACTCAGTCAACCCTAGAGTTTGGTGTATATGTTTTGTAGGAGCAGATCCGAGCGATGCAGGATGACCACAACAAGGCCCAGGAGTTTCTGCAGAAGCAGCTTGACCTTGCCGACACCGAGAACCTCCGCCTCCAGAGGGAGCTGCAACAACAGCTACAAAGGTCACTGAGGGTCAAGGACAGCAGTGAGACACGCGACTCACCGCTGGAGTCTGTGGCAGATTATATGCATCCTGAAGAGCGACAGGAAGGGGAGGTAATTAGTACATGCAACTTTACACTACAATATGTGACCTGTTCCATGCAAACGGGGTTGGGGGTGGGGAATGGGTGGCCCAGTCGTCTAAGGCGCCGCGATTCGTTGTGCAGTGCTGAGTCCCTTGGGCCCGCCAGAAACCTATGATGGTGGGTTTCGAATCCTGGTTTGCTCTAATTATGTTTCTAGGTTTGTCAGCACCATACCCGTGCTCGTGGGTTTCACTGAAGTGGTAAATGTCTGAAACCTGCATCACTTCGGGTTTTCCTCCCACATTAAGCTGACACGCCGTGATATAACTGGAATACTGTTAAAAGCGGCGTTAACCCAAACCCTCTTACTCACTCACTCCATGCAAAAGGACCACATGTCGGTAAAACTGAAGCCGGGGAAAGGCTTAACTTTTTGAGTGCTACATTTGACATTTTGAGTGTTTTTGCCAATTGGGATCCTCAGACGTCACTCTTCCTGACCACAATGTTAAGGGATGAAACAAGATCCCTTTTTGTTGTTATTTTCTGAAAAAAAGCGGGAGGAGAAAGGCTCCATAAGTCAGAGGTTAACATTTGGACACTCTCTGATGATTTCTTTGCAATAAAATTGTAATATTTACTGATAAAATGTTTGCATCTTGGCATTTTTTGTACATCAGCTGTAATATGGCTGGAATAGCATTAAAAATGGCATAGAACATCTTGACTCTTTACAGAATCTTTACAATCAAACAGCTGAATGTACTAATTTCTTGTATCTCACACAAATGCTATTTGTTTGGATCAGGCAGAGTTTCTACTCAGGTTGTCATATTACGTGTAATATATTCCAATTGTTTTAAACGTGTTGCCCAGTCCTTGTAGAAAGTTAAGCAATTCCAGTATGAAAAAATAATTAAGGGACACTCTGTCACCAAAGTTGATAAAGTAGCTGATACTAAGCAAGTAGGTAATGTTTAAACTGTGTTGAAAAGCAAGACGTTTTACCATCAGGGATCTGAGATCAACGACCCTGAGCCATGCCCAAAGACAGCCGTGAGTCCTGTCAGCTCCCTCTCCTTCGAGCAGCTGCTGAAGACGCCCTTGGAAGAAGGACAAAGTAAGATTCTGAAAGATAGTGACCTCAACACGGTTGGTTGCAGGACTGTTTAGGCTTCAAAACTAAGGCTAAAAAAATAATAGTCTTGGTTCTCAGGCACAGCTCGCATCATTCTAAAGTCTGCTGCAAGTTTCAGTTTTATTTTAATTTTCAAATCCAAATACTTAAAAATAATTTGATCCAATATAGCAAAGAGTTACTTCCCTTTACATGCGCACAGCTTTACTGCGCATATCGTGTTATGGTCATGGTGGCAAAGGGAGTTTGTGTGCTTGTGAGGCTTGTGCTTTCCCAGGTTGATGGTACACAACTGTTTATTTGGTTACATACAAGTTTGAACAAGCAAAAACAAACAAAAACAACTGCCTGACCACACTTTATTTTCAAGAGTCATTGCCTGAGAACAAATTTTTTTATATTCTTTTAAGCCTAACATTAGTCTCTTGTTCCGAGACCATAAGGTGTTCATGTAGGCATATGCTAACTTTTGCTTACTTAATTTTTAACCCTGCTCGTATGAATGATGGGTAGAGCGAAATAATTGATCAAACTATTGATGTGTTGCAATTGTTTGTTGCCCAGTCAGCCTGTGAAGATCCGGGGTAGACTAGGTCTTCAGTAACCCATGCTTGCCACAAAAGGCGACTATGCTTGTCGTAAGAGGCTACTAACGGGATCGGGTGGTCAGGCTCGCTGACTTGGTTGATGCATGTCATCGAATCCCACTTGTGTGGATCGATGTTCATAATGTCAATCACTGGATTGTCTGGTCCAGACACGATTATTTACAGACCGCCGTCATATAGCTGAGTGCCGCGTTAAACAACAAACAAACACAACAGAATTAGTCTGCATATTTAAAAAGCTGCTTCACCCTACCCATCACCAACTTATACAGGGTGGGAAATTAATACAGAATTACTCCATAGCTGGTTTATCAGGTTGACATAGTGCATCAATAAAAGTATGTACTATAAACTGAATTTTGTCCCTAGTGTTGAAGATAGAGCCAGGTGTTGATGAAGAAACGCTGAAAACCAGCCTTGTGACAGCTCACAAGAGGATTGAGCACCTAACAGAGGTAGGAGATCAAGTGATTGCAGTGGTTACCTAGCAGCCTGAAGTGTGGTCTTGCTGTAATTGAGCACCTCACTGATGTAGTTTATGCAGTGGTTACAGTGGTTACCTAGCAACCTGTTGTGTGGTCTTGCTGTAATTGAGCACTTCACTGATGTAGTTTATGCAGTGATTGCAGTGGTTACCTAGCAATCTGAAGTGTGGTCTTGCAGTAATTGAGCACCTCACTGATGTAGTTTATGCAGTGGTTACCTAGCAACCTGAAGTGTGGTCTTGCTGAAATTGAGCACCTCACTGATGTAGTTTATGCAGTGGTTACCTAGCAACCTGAAGTGTGGTGTTGCTGTAATAGAGCACCTCACTGATTTAGTTTATGCAGTGATTGCAGTGGTTACCTAGGAACCTGTTGTGAGGTCTTGCTGAAAGGAAAGGTATGTGTAGATGCCCAAAGTGTTACAGGATGATATTGTGTGTGTTGTTAAGCTGACCTAAGATGATGGTGTTTGTGTTGTTGCTGCTGCAGTTGCTGACCGACAGCGAGGAGACTGTCAACCTCTACACGGAGCAGGTGAAGATCCTCAAGGGGGAGATCCGCCGACTGGAGCGGAACGAGGAGCGGGAGAGTGAGACACGCAACCTGGAGTACCTTAAGAACATCCTGATGAAGGTGAGACCACAGGCAATATACAGGGGGTAGGGGAAATATACAGGGGTTGGGGAAATATACAGGGGGTTGGGGGAATATACAGGGGTTGGGGAATATACAGGGGTTGGGGGAATATACAGGGGGTAGGGGAAATATACAGGGGTGGGGGAAATATACAGGGGTTGGGTTAATATACAGGGGTTGGGGAACATACAGGGGTTGGGGGAATATACAGGGGGTGGGGGAATATACAGGGGGTGGGGGAATATACAGGGGTTGGGGGAATATACAGGGGTTGTTATATACAGTGGCGATATATATCTGGTGTGCTATAATGTCTTGAGGGTTATTGTTTTTTACATGAAAAGATGAACAATATCTCAAATTACGTCACTTTCATGTAAAATGAGGAAATATACATCTGTGTATATCTAGTGTATAGAGTGTCTGGTTGATAGGCTGGTGGGTTTTTTTACCGAAAGACATTAAAAGATGGTACTTGATGTTACCCTGCCTGGCACTTGGCGTTAAGGGGATAAAACATGGACCTTTCAGCTCGAAGTCAGTATACTGTGTTTGGTATCCATGCTAAACTGCAGCATGATATCTCATTGGGCTTGCACTACAAAACCACGCACGCAAGCACACACACACACTTATAATCTTAGACCTGTGAAGATCCGAGGTAGAATAGAATAGGTCTTCTGCAACCCATGTTTGCTGTAAAAGGCGACTATGGTTGTAGTAAGAGGTGACTAACGGGCTCGCTGACCCAATTGCATGGATCAATGCTCATGATATCAATTACTGGAATGTCAGGTCCAGACTTTCCAGACCGCCGTCATATAGCTGGAATATTGCTGAGTGAGGCGTTAAACAACAAACCAAACCAATTCTTATAATCTTGAACGCAATTTTAGACCCATTTCACCTGACCATCTGTGTGTTGCATGCAGTTCCTGTCGCTGAAGGTGGGGGACGAGAGACAGCAGCTGGTTCCTGTCCTCACCACCATGTTGAAACTCAGCAAGGAGGAGATGGACAAACTGAACGCCGTCGCTCAGGGTACGTCCAGAATCAATGTGTGCACAGGGCGTTAGCTGTGTGGTCTCAGAGGCCAGTACTTGAAACTGAAGGAAAATCGCCCAGAACGCTCTGTTTTATGACTGTACGTGTTCCATGTGTAAAGAGGGGGCACGGGTGGCCCAGTCGTCTAAGGAGCCGCGATTCGCTTGGGCATGCCAGAAACATATGATTGTGGGTTTGAATCCCGGTTCGCCCCGATTATGTTTCAAGGTTTGTCAGCACCATACCCGTGCTTGTGGGTTTCACCGAAGTGGTATACGTCTGAGACCTGCATCACTTCGGGCTTTCCTCCCACATGAAGCTGACACGCCGTGATATAACTTGAATAATGTTAAAAGCGGCGTTAAACCCAACTCACTCACTTACTCACTCACTCAACAGTCGGATAATTGTTTTTTCTTCACGCACTTTCTTGGCTAGAAGATGAATTGTTTTGTTTGAAGTGAGAAGTATTTACAGCTGTAACTTTTGTTTGCAGGGGAGGAGGTGCCAGTAGCTGGGCAGGCAGCAGGATGGGGCTCCTATCTACATCGCTGGTCCGGGCTGGTGTAGTCACATGACAGGCCATGTGACGGTCACATGACTTGTAGACGGAATCGTATTCATTTCTGTGGCCTTGGGACTGTCACGTGATACGAAAAGAAGATCGTCAGTAACAGTGGCTTATGTTGTCACATGACCTGAAAGTGGAATCATATCTACGTTATTGGAGTGTCACATGACATACCGTGTGACTGTCAGGGGCCATCAAGGAAGGATTGTCTACACCATGAGGAAATTATGGCCGACTGTGTTTAATACTGACAATGGATCTGCACTTGCGCAGAGCACCATGGGGGGGTCATTCACTGGTACATATCAGATCAGGAATTTGACAAACCAGGGTTTTTTTTAAGAAAGCATATTTTGTGAGTTCCTTTGTGTTATTTATGTAAATGAGCATGTGTTTTGGAGAAAGTGGGCGTTTGTGTGAACTGAAGCTTGAGAGAGGGAGAATTTGTGTGCCCAGATTGTATTGTGATATGTGGTTGCTTTTAATGTATACTTCTAGAGTTTTAGAGATTACGGGGGATGTATTTTCTATGTGTTGAACACTCTTTGAGGGGTATATGTGATATTTTGGGGGGTTGTCTGATCCCCTGTTGGGATTCACCTATGGATATTTAAATGTTCGAGGTTCGATTCCCCACATGGGTACAATGTGTGAAGCCCATTTCTGGTGTTCCCGGAGTATTGCTAAAAGCGGCGTAAAACCGTACTCACTCACTCACTCAGTGATTGAAACAGTCACAGGGGAGGAGAGACTTCCAGGTTTCTGTACATTCCACAATTTGCCATCACCAGGATCTCCGTGCCTACACAAGCTGTTTTATGACCACCTTATCATGTTCAAATCTAAATATAATGTCGCATCAACATTTTAGTTCAAAAGTTAACACAACACATGAATATTCCTTGACACCAAGCAGAGTTGCTTCCCTTAACTGCCAGGATATGATGTGTTTCCCAAATTTGCCCAACATTGTAACACTGCTTCTGAAAACAATCTCGGATGGTGCCTTGTGACTTAAACACTCAAGTTTTGTGTCCTGGTTGCAGTTAAGTGGATGTTTGTTTTGAGCATTAGAGTACAAAGAGTTTATAAAGTAGGCATCTTTAGCAGAGGGATGTCCTCAGATCTTTGTGTATTGGAAGTGAGCACTAAGATCTGATTTTAATGAGATTGCCTCATTGACAAGTAGCATTTGTCAGCTGTAATTCTGAATTACTCAATACTTCAATTTTGCAACAAATTGGAACTGTATAAAACTGATAGTGAAAGTAAGCATTTCTGTCTCGTTCAAGCAGGACTAGTTACAGACTCTGAGGACTAGTGAAATAAGGTTTCCACTAGCCTGCTAGTCTTAAATGCTAGGGCTGGGATGAGTCCAAAATTACTACCCGGGTACCCACACCCCTATTACCCGACCCTACCCGGGTACCCACTGTTGGTGGCAAGAGATAGGTACAAAATGTCCGATTGGGAATAGTTTGACAGTAACCCTGGCAGAATGTTTTTAGATAAAAACGTATAAAACGATGTGGTCATGCATACACTGAAGTTGACTGAAGTTTTAGCTTTGTTCAAACATATATAAGTCAGAAGGAACGTGTTCATAGCCATGGAGAAATGCGAACATTAGAGACTTCCAATTGTCATGTAACCATGTAGTTATACTGTGAATTTCAGTCATGAAACAATATATCACGTGACTATCACGGGTCCTACTCAGTACCCACCCGACCCGGGTACCCGATTTACCCGTCCCAGCCCTATTAAATACCGAACTCGACCCAACATGACCACCATGAGGACTAGTGTTAAAAAAGACCAAAATTCAAAGGCAGGATTGTAATGATAAGTGTTAATGTCAACAGAAGTCCATTAATCTATATTAAGTAGTCATACCCAAGCAGTATCTAGCAGCTAAGCCAACGAGAGTGCTCTCCCTTGAGTTGTAACAAGATGGCCACCATGCTGACCACATGGTCTGAATAAAAGGGCTTTTTAACACGAAGTACCTTTCTTCAGTTATTGTTACAAACCACTACAATGATTGTGTTGTATTTATGTTGTAAATGAAAAGTAGACTAGAAACAAGCTGAGAACAATGTATATATGGCAGGAGGGAGACTAGTCCCAAAGCCCTCAATGAGTATTATGTGGTAGGAAACTCGTTGTCTTTCAATTCAGACCAAGATACTTGCACAGCTTACTGTTGGTTGTAATTTCGGTGTAGATGTTTATATATCTGTATGTGTTGTGTAATTATTTACCATGTAACAATAGTACTTTGGGTGTTAAATGTCTTTAGATGAGATGGTGTTAAATGTTCCCAGAAGACTGGGTGTTAAGTGTCCCAGAGGATTGGGTGTTAAGTGTCCCAGAGGATTGGGTGTTAAGTGTCCCAGAGAATTGGGTGTTAAGTGCCCCAGAGGATTGGGTGTTAAGTGTCCCAGAGGATTGGGTGTTAAGTGTCCCAGAGGATTGGGTGTTATATGTCCCAGAGGATTGGGTGTGAAATGTCCCAGAGGATTGGCTGTTAAGTGACCCAGAGGATTGGGTGTTAAGTGACCCAGATAATTGGGTGTTAAGTGTCCCAGAGGATTGGGTGTTAAGTGTCCCAGAGGATTGGGTGTTATATGTCCCAGATGATTGGGTGTTATATGTCCCAGATGATTGGGTGTTATATGTCCCAGATGATTGGGTGTTATATGTCCCAGATGATTGAGTGTTAAATGTCCCAGATGATTGGGTGTTATATGTCTTTAGATGAGATGGTGTTAAATGTCCCAGATGATTGGGTGTTATATGTCCCAGATGATTGGGTGTTATATGTCCCAGATGATTGGGTGTTATATGTCCCAGATGATTGGGTGTTATATGTCCCAGATGATTGAGTGTTAAATGTCCCAGATGATTGGGTGTTATATGTCCCAGATGATTGGGTGTTATATGTCCCAGATGATTGAGTGTTAAATGTCCCAGATGATTGGGTGTTATATGTCTTTAGATGAGATGGTGTTAAATGTCCCAGAGGATTGGGTGTTAAGTGTCCCAGATAATTGGGTGTTATATGTCCCAGATGATTGGGTCTGTTTAAGACATGAGTCTCTAAATACCAGAATTCAGGCACGAGTGTCGTAAACATGGTATGACATGAACTCGGAATATAATGTTCTATTTATTACCGAAGAAGACTGCAAGTTGCAGCAGCAGCAGAACCCCAGTTTGTCAAATGACGTCAACAATCTCCAGCTATGACGTCTGTTCTCACGTCACATTAAAATTCATTTACAATGGAAACAATACACAGTTGTCTCGTGACATGATATGACACAAGGGCACATAGGATCTTTATGGATCCCGATATGTTTGCCCTCGTACATAATAAAGTGAAGGTAGTGTGGGTCTGGGACCGGGTTTGGGACCATGTCTGGGACCGGGTCGGGTTCATGAGGGGTTGGAGTGGTGGTTTATTCTGTGTGTAATGTGTATTCTTGTGTATTTTTTGTTTGTTTGTTGTTTAACGCCGCACTCAGCAATATTCCAGCTACGGCAGTCTGTAAATAATTGATTCTGGACCAGACAATCCAGTGATTGACATCATGAGCATCGATCCACGTAATTTGGATACGATGACATACATCAACCATGTCAGCGAGCCCGACCACCCGATCCCGTTAGTCGCCTCTTACGGCAAGCATGGGTTGCTGAGGACCTATTCTACCCCGGATCTTCGCGGGTCGTGTTATGTGTAAAGTACAGTATGAAGGATGACTGATATGATCAATGATGGTTCCTTTTGTAAATAGTTCAATGTATTAGTTTCAGTGTGAAATGATGCATATCTTTAGCAAACATTCTTGTGCATGTCTGTGTGGACGGACTCCCAAACAACCATATTGTGAAAAATAATGTTTATCATAACCATGTTACTTTCATCAACATAATTGTGAAATAGGTGGCCTTTGTGTAATAATATATATGTTATTGAGGTATGTGATGTTATATTTTCTGTTGTTGTAGCATTAGAAGACTTTATTTTTTTATTCTAATCCTGAAAACAAAGGGCGGACCATTTGATATTCAAAGGAGAGGGCACTTTCGGACTTTCCTCCCACATTTAGCTGACACGCCATGACATAACTGGAATACTGTTCAAAGCGTTGTAAAACCCAACTCACTCACTCAAAGGAGCGGGCACTTTCGGGCTTTCCGCCCTGATTAGGCTGACGCAATGATATAACTAAAATGTTATTCAAGGCGATGTTGAACACATCTCACTCACTCACTCACCCACTCACTCACTCAGGAGTTGCTGGAATATATAATATTTTTTGAGTAAGGATAAGATATACGAAGAAGGTCATGACTTACTTGATCACGGTGTTAGAATCTTCACCGAAACGTTGCTCGCAATTTAGTAAAGAAGTTGTCCATCCATAAATCTTATCCTTACTTGGTACTCAAACTTATAAATGCCTCTCAAAGAAATATTTTTTAAGTCAGTACTTAGAAAAATACAATTCTTCCTCTGAAGAGGAGCCCAAAAGTATCTTTTAAAACATCCAGCATGTGGAAACATGATATTTTTCCAGCATTTTCAGAAACAGAAATGTCCCAAATCCCTGCTGAATATGAAATGATCTGCCACTTGATGTGGGACCTGATCCATGAGCCTTGCCAGGGTGTATGCGAGTTGAATTGTGTCCTCGGGGGACCACCAAGTTCCAACTCCTAGCAGTCATTATGTTGAAGTTGTATATCATTCAGAACCATGGATTCGAGGGTTTGTCTTCATGCCAAAAACCTGGGTTCAATTCCTTACATGGGCACAGTGTGTGGAGCCCATTCTTGATGTACCAGGCTATTAATGGACAAAATACTATTGAATCATGTACTTGTGTTTATTTAACTTGACATGAAGCCAGACATGAGTCACTTCTACTGCAGTATCAGATACTATTCGTATGACAACAATTCCAAACAATCAGTCTTGTTCAGTACCAAACAGGACACTCATAATATTTATATAAAATGTTAAGTAGCATAGTACCTTTGACCTTTCACAAAGTAATGTGATTGATAACACAAGTTACTTTCAGCTTTCAAGCTCCATCAGGACGCACGGGTGGCCCAGTCATCTAAAACACTGCAATTCATGTCAGTGTTGTGTCCCTTAGGCATGCTAGAACCATGATCGTGGTTTGAAGCCAAGATTCACCCGATAATGTTTCTTGGTTTGTCAGCACCATTCCCATGCTTGTGGGTGCCAAAGTGGTAGATGACCTCTTACCTTTCCTCCCACAAGCGAACACGCCATCATATTCTGGAGATACTGCTCAAAGCAGCTGTAAACTAAACTCACTCTGACCAGTGTCATTAACCTGTCCTTCTGGATGGGTTCCAGGTTACCTATCCCCAGAAACTTAGCGTCAGTGGACAGGTACTGTCATCCTGTACCCTGTCTGTGATGCTCCTCATGACTCCATCACTGGGTTATCTGGCCCTGATACGATTATTTACAGGCCATCGTCATAAAGCTGAAATATGGCATTCTGAAATATTCTCATTTGCTGAGAATAGTGTATCCATGTCTGTGTTTTGACATCACAAAAGATACTTTATTGGTGGAACAAGACTTGAATGGTTGCATGTCACTGAACACCCTGTTTACATGTGCTTCATTAAGTCAATACTGTGGTATGATGATGTATTATGTCCAGGTTTAGTATTGCCAATGTCTATCAGAAGATCTATTTTCTGGGCTATTTTTGTCATGAGATTGAATGTGTGAATGTTTAAACTTTCTTGGGAATAATAAATATTTCAAAGTCTGTGTCTGTTATTCTCTGTTCAACAGACCGCCTCCGTGGTCTAGTGGTAGAGCGTCTGCCTGGAGAGCGGGGTGTCCGGAGTTCAATCCCCGGCCGCGTCATACCAAAAGACGTTAAAAGATGGTACTTGTTGTTACGATGGTACTTGTTGTTACCCTGTCTGGCGCTCAGCATTAAGGGGCTAAAACAAGGACTGGTCGGCTTGGAGTCAGTATACTGTGTCTGAGTGGGGTATTCCTGTTAAACTGTGACATGGTATCTCAGTGAGCGAGCACTATAAATCGGCCACAGGAACTCGATGATAGCGTGTATAACATTAATATAATCGTATAGAGAATAAAATCACACCCCTCTATATACATATAGAGTCTATATGTATATAGAGGGGTGTGATTTTTTTCTCTATACGATTATATTACGTTAAACACGCTATCATCGAGTTCCTGTGTCTGTGTCCATTGTTCCCTGTCAAACAAAAGTGTGTATCCATTGTTCTCTGTCCAACAACAGAGTCTGTGTCCATTGTTCTCTGTCCAACAACAGTTTGTGTCAATTGTTCCCTGCCCAACAACAGTCTATGTCCATTGTTCTCTGTCCAACAACAGAGTCTGTGTCCATTGTTCCCTGTCCAACAACAGTCTGTGTCTATTGTTCCCTGCCCAACAACAGTCTGTGTCCATTGTTCTCTGTCCAACAACAGTCTGTGTCCATTGTTCCCTGTCCAACAACAGAGTCTGTGTCCATTGTTCCCTGTCAAACAACTGTCTGTGTCCATTGTTCCCTGCCCAACAACAGTCTGTGTCCATTGTTCTCTGTCCAACAACAGTCTGTGTCCATTGTTCCCTGCCCAACAACAGTCTGTGTTCATTGTTCTCTGTCCAACAACAGTCTGTGTCCATTGTTCCCTGCCCAACAACAGTCTGTGTCCATTGTTCCCTGTCAAACAACTGTCTGTGTCCATTGTTCCCTGCCCAACAACAGTCTGTGTCCATTGTTCTCTGTCCAACAACAGTCTGTGTCCATTGTTCCCTGCCCAACAACAGTCTGTGTCCATAGTTCTCTGCCCAACAACAGTCTGTGTCCATTGTTCTCTGTCCAACAACAGTCTGTGTCCATTGTTCCCTGCCCAACAACAGTCTGTGTCCATTGTTCCCTGTCAAACAACTGTCTGTGTCCATTGTTCCCTGCCCAACAACAGTCTGTATCCATTGTTCCCTGTCAAACAACAGTTTGTGTCCATTGTTCTCAGTCCAACAACAGTTTGTGTCCATTGTTCTCTGTCCAACAAGAGTGTGTATCCATTGTCCTCTGTCCAACAACAGTTTGCGTCCATTGTTCTCAGTCCAACAACAGTTTGTGTCCATTGTTCTCCGTCCAACAAGAGTGTGTATCCATTGTCCTCTGTCCAACAGTCTGTGGCCATTGTTCTCTGTCCAACAACAGTATGGAACGTCAGGGGTTCGAACCCCGGCCTCGCTATACCAAAAGATGGTACTTGTTGTTACCTTGCCTTGCGCTCAGCATTATGGAGCTAAAACAAGGACTGGTCAGCTCGGAGACAGTATACTGTGTCTGAGTGTGGTATTCATGTTAAACTGCGGCATGGTATCTCAGTGAGTTAGCACAAAGAAATCGGCATTAGTCTGTACTACACATGCCCATTCCCAGTGTCCCCTGTCGTGATAGTGCTGGAATATTGCTAAAAGTGTCTTAAAACCATATTTATTTACCAATGTTAATGTGAAAAACACATTCATCTTGTGACTTGTTAAAGAATGGAACATTACGCAACCATGAATTGTATCCACAAGTGGCACTCGTTCTTTGTCACCATATCCTCACCTAAGAGCAGTGCACCTTGTAGTTGCATATAGAGAATGATGTAAACGCAGCTGATGTTTGATATTTTACGACTGCTTCCAGTTCATCCATATTCTGCATGATTATGCTACTTTACCTGGCAAAAAGGACACAGTCATCTTGAGTTCTGGATGTCGTAGTTGATGTGTGACCCTGTCACTTAAAGGAATTCATAAGACCATTCGTGTCTTGTCATGACACTGTCTTTCACATATTCTGTCACACAGACCTAGACAAACATCTAGTCTCTGAAGTGAACATATCGTACATAAAAAAACAGTTGTTAAATTATCTTAATAAAAATATAATAAAAAGGAGCCCAGAGGCTCTCTTCATTTTCAGTAATCTAGACATGCCAAACATTATAGACTTGCATGGGCTGTATTTGATATATTTGTATCAAGGTCTGTAAGACAGACTAACACAGACCCTAAAACAAAGATATCCAGTAAAGCCCTTGCAAAACTATAATATTTGGCAATCTAGATTACATATTATTTCATAACTATAATTCAACAACTTTAGTCTTCTGTAAACTACGTTCGTTTCAGAGATTAGATGTTAGTCTACTTTCGTGAAAATTCGTGCTATTCCGTGTAAGGGAAAGAAGCAAGCGATGAAGAATGGCCATTTATCCCATTTGTGACTGAAACTTGTGCCATTTCAGGACAAGTAGATTACGGAAAGATGCGAGGGGTGACGAATGCCACATCTTGGACAGTTGGGTCGGCTCGGCTTATTTCCGCTACCTATATAATACATTTGTGACCAACTCGTGTTATTCCGAGACAGGTTCCGGAAAGGGGCGAGTGGTGATGAATGCTACATAATAATCGTATGATACGAGTAGATACCCCTCTCGGCGTCGGCGGAAAGTGCAGAAAAGTGTGGGAGAAGTGACCACAGCGGAAGTTATATATGCAATGATGTCGTTCGTGCGATTCCATGACATGTTAACTCCTGATTTGGCTGACATTCCAGTGCATTCGGCTTATTCGGCTACCTTCCATAATATGCTGTGTAATATGACAGTCACGTGAAATAGCGAAACTAGCAGATCCAGTCCCAAGATGGATTTCAACCAGTTCTAGCCGAAATGTCCTGTGGTATTGAGAGGAACTAAGTGATCCCTCTGAGTAATTTAATCGTGACCAGTTTTTCGTGTTTTCCGAGACAGGTCCTTTTGCGGTTGCGTCTGAGAAAAGGGAACATTCTGTTTCCAAACAGGAAACGAATTAAAGCATACAAAGAGCACAACACATACTTTCAATAGTGTACAATGTTTATTCAAATGATATATTTTGTAAACGTAAGGCACAGACCTTTTCATCAAGCATTGGCAATTTTACAGGATTATTTCTTTCAAGGGACGAAACTAACTTTGTGTAAAAAAAATAAGTAGTTGGCAAAATTTGTAAGCAGTAGCTGACACGTGACTACTTTTCAGTGAAACCTCGTTACTCAGAAAGATTCGGATAAACGAGTCTCCAAGCATTATCCGTGACACAAGTACTTTGATAAATGTTTAACAAGTTTATAAATGATATATTTACGAACTCTATCTACCCAAAGTACATCTTTGTATACATCTTCCGAGGCAGGGTAGTGACCTGAATATAAATGTCCAGTTACCGCGCTTGCCAAAATTGATTGGAATTTCTGAGTTATATTTTGGCTGGCTTAACGAGTGTTTGCAGAGTCAAATCAAACACCGCGTAAAGAGATCCACATCCGGTTCGTGAACAACATGGCGAGTACCATGCGGATGTCGGTCAATTACATGATTTGCAAAGCATGTGTGCTTTCAACTGGGTGTCGACAGATATTTACCTGTATTTTCATATTTAATCAACTTGCACAAGTGATCTGAAGTTAGACCCGTCTTATTCAATAAAGATATTGAATATCGATCAGACTGGGCGCCGCCATTTTGTTTGAAGCAAATGCAAGTGATATGAGAGGTGGATTGGTCAATAGGAGGACACAGGGTTGAAATAACTCGTATATGACACGAGTGGCGCTACGCCCAAGCCACGAAATGCCAGCTTAGTTCGGCAAGGGTGGAAACTGGACTTTAATAGTCATTGAACTACCTTGCCTCGGGAAGATGCTTTATATATGGACAAGATGGTTGTTTATTATGATAGTGTTCAATAGCACGCTCTGTGACCAAGCACTTCGTCAACGTGTACAGTAGGACACGCAAGTAAGTTAAGACGAAAATAAATAAATATTATAACCATTAAAGCACTAGATTTCTTCAGTACAGCAACACATCGCACTCAAGTACAGATGTCCAAAAAACAAAATGCATGCCTCTTGTCGTCTCTCTGACATGACACCGTCTTTGTTCCGAACGCTGCCTGTCAGTAATTCAAAGTTAAAAGGGAGACAGGTAAGTTACAAGAAGTCCAACTGCAGTGTTCGGTTTTGATGTATTTGTTTCTCATAAAAAGAACTATAAGTGAATGTCAGTAGCATCGACGTCACCGGACATGTTATTTCATTCGATAATCTCAGTAATTCCCATCCTTATTTCATACAAATGAGTGAGTGAGTATGGTTTTACGCCGCTTTTAGCAATCTTCAAGCAATATCTCGGCGAGGGACACCAGAAATGGGCTTCAAACATTGTACCCATGACGGGAATCGAACCCGGGACGAGCGAACGCTTTGACCACTTGGCTCCCCGACCGCCCCTTATACAACAGAATTAATGTGTATTTCTACTCAGTGATACCAGCTTATTGTAGATACAGCTAACTGTGAAAGTATGAACGACAAACTGTATTTCCTTCTTGACAGCAACACTGAACCTAACTTTCAGAAGAACTGGTTCGTAATAGCTGATAATGAGAGAACGCTACACCAACAGCGTCCACGATCAGAAGTGGATCTAGGGTATTATGTTTTTTCATGAAAAAGGTGTGGTGTATGGTCTCTGGTGTGTATGTGTGGGTGCGTGTGTTTTTTATTTTTGTGTGTGTGTGTGTGCGTGTTTGTGAGATTTTGGATTCGGAATTCGTAACTTCGGGACATGTAACACTGCACAAACACCTTAATTCTATATCACGACCCTTCACGACAAAAATACCACTTTGTTTTCTATTAATACAAATATCACACATGTTCATGCATTCCAAAGTAAGGCCCGATTCCATCCAACGGTATCCAAATCAGCCAAAAGTCTAGAAACATCCAAGGAAAGAAAGGATTAAGAATAATTAGCCGTCACAGGACAGAAGGAATGTTTGGAAAGGGAGGTTCCACAAATGTCAACAGTTTTTGGGATATAGGGTGTTGGCGTCCAAATTCAAATTTTTCACAATGTACCTAGCCGACAGGTGTACATATGCTTGCGTTAGTTTCTGCGATAGGTATAACACATAAACAAAAAGCAACATTTCAATTCTGGTCAGTTGTCGCTTGCTAGTGACGTTACAGAGTCACGTGACCCCAACAAGCCTCTCAGTCCCTCTTGTATTTCTAGTTCCGGCATAACAATTGCCACGCGTCTCGGATTGGGCGGCGCCATCTTGGATATGGCATCGATGTCTTGCGTCACAGCGGCTCCGCGACGTCGCCCGGTACGTCTTCTTAGCATTAGGAGGACGTCGTCTGCAACGACAATGGGCTTGAATTACAACATGTACGGTAATACTACCGACCAGAACCCGCTAATACCTAGTTTCGATGAACATATTGAAGTTGCGTTTTTGATATCATTAATCAAATTACAATAAAACTCGACCTTTACACTTTTATACGGATGATATAGTTTACAATGACTAGCGTCCTATAAGGCAATGACAAAATTATATTGATATTTGTGACAGGAAAAAATAACATCTATTTCACTGTTGGTGGTTATATGCATAGATGTACCTGTATGTAACGTTCACAATCATTACCAAACTCTTGTGATATAGAGTGTTATTATTGTCGATACAATGCGACGTGACGGCTAAATAAGCGCTGTCAGCTAGAAAGTCACGCTGAAAGACAAAGGTTCATAATCGGATTATAACAACATCCCATGCCCGGCAACCGCGACTACTTTTAGCGAGTTCCACTTGGCCGGCCGGTAATACGCGTTGGATGTAAGCATCCTTCCATATATACCATGCACACATTCTCCCTGGCACCCCTCCATCCCCACTCGTCATCCCCCCGTACCTGTGAAGATCCGGGATAGAATCGGTCTTCAGCAACCCATGCTTGTCGTTAGAGGCGACTATGTCACTAACAGGAACCCCTGGGTCAGGCTCGCTGAATTGGTTGATGCGTGACATCATATCCCAATTGCGTGGATCGATGCTCATGATGTGAATCACTGGATTGTCTGGTCCAGACTCGATTATTTACACACCGCCATCATGTAGCTCGAATATTGCTAAGTGCGGCGTTAAACGACAAACAAAAAACCCCAAACAAACAAACATCACCCCCCCCCCCCCCCCCCCCGTTATAACTGTTATAAAACAACCCTATATTACTCTTCCCCATCTGTATATAACCACCACATACCTCTCTTGCCCATCTCTTTTATAACCACCTTAAATCAATCGACCACATATAACACTTTCCCATCTCCTATATAACCACATTATATCATTCTTCCCCATCTGTTATATAACATCTGATATCACTCTTCTCCATCTGTTATATAACCACCTTATATCATTCTTCCCTATATGTTATATAACCTCCTTATATCAATCTTCCCTATCTGTTATATAGCATTATATCAATCAGTTATTGACTAAAGACAAGCACCGATGCATGCGCTAGATTTCCAGAAATGCGAAAGACTTGTCATGCGCAGTAGCGATGCTTTACAGCGCCGCTGTTACAGATGGGATAGAGAGGTGTCCCAGATCTATTAATCTAGAGGGAAGACAAGATAGCATGCATTGATATGAGTGATATTGCCTGTTGGGAGAAATATAGGGCCATCATCACCGACACTTCAGGAGCTCCACCGGGTCCCCCCTCCATCACCCGTGAGTGCCGTTGGTCCTGTTTGGTATGTCGTTTTCCAGGCCATTTTTACTCATGGGAGCCAAATTAGCTCTACTTCTGGAGTTCTGGCAAGAACCTTCATCGAAACCTTATGTTGCCTGTTACTTTCAGAGCCGTTGGTCGTAAACCCAGTCGTCACTACTCACATCTTTCTATAGTTCCGTGAATATCAGGGGTAGAATAGGCCTTCTGCAACCCATGCTTGCTGTAAAAGGCGACAATGCTTGTAAGAGGCGACTAACGGCATCGGGTGGTCAGGCTCACTGACTTGGTTTGATGCATGTCATCGATCCCAATTGCGTGGATAGATGCTCGTGATATTAATCACTGGATTGTCTGGTCCAGACTCGATTATTTACAGACCGCCGTCATATAGCTAGAATATTGCTGCGTGCGGCGTTAACCAACAAGCCAACCAACCATCATCTTTCCATACCCTACAAGAAGGCTTGTCCCGGAACATTCGTGGAATTATTCCAGGACAAAGACGCACCCAAGCCCCCCCCCCCATATATAATATATATTCCAGATGCTATTGAAAACACTTCGGCACTTACGGTACTATACAGCATGATTGAACTTTTTAACTGTATCTTGGGTATATGTTTCGATTCAAGACATATGTAAAATCAAAAGTCATTCCTAAGGCATTCTTTGACCGAAATACTTGAAGTCATACGCGCATTCTGATTGGTTTTGTCATATTTACGCACATAACATTAATCGATAGGGGGACGAGTCTTTTTTTTCAGATTACGGAAAGGGGTGAGTGATTGCGAATGGTCCCGGAATAATGCGAGTTGGTCACGAGTGTCGTAAACCAAGTAAACCATGTAAACTGAACGCTCATTGGTCAGTGCATCTCTTGCTTAGAGAAGGCTGTGGCTTGATTCGTTGGTTAGAATAACACATCCGGGTGATCAGTCACCTCGGTCACTAGTAAGCTATATACAACCACATTAAAGATTTCAACTGATACATTTATCCTGACATTTGCTGTGCGTATTTATACGTTGTACGTCTGTGATTGAGTGAGTATGGTTTTACGCCGCTTTTAGCAATATTCAAGCAATATCACGGCGGGGGACACAAGAAAAGGGGTTCTCACATTGTTCCTATGTCAGGAATCGAACCCGGGCCTTCGGCGTGACGAGGGAACGCATTAACCACTAGGCTACCCGACCGCCCCTCTCTCAGTTAGAAGCACTGACAGGCATCAAAATTATGGGTGCTTTAGTACAGTATGGTAGTCACGCCCTGCTGGAGCCCATGGGCGTGTATATCTGTTGAAACGTCACTTTTCAATACACTCCGCCGCGATACGATATCCATCATCTTGAAAATCCACAACAATATAATAGCGCCGCCTTTATTACATTCCTTTCGGATCTGCCCGTTTTCGTTCAATATCAGATATGTTAATCGGAATGCTCCGCGCTCCCGTATACTAGCAGCACCGACTAGCTTATAAGAAACTTACCGTGTCAAGTCAAAAGATCTGATTTTATTGAGATGTAAATGATCCATATGTGCGCGGGTAATATCTGCTTAACAGTTGTGTGACATAACACTATTAGAAATAAACATATGGGTATATAGTAAAACATTAGAAAACAGAAAGATGTGTTGGACTGCCATGTCGACCATATCTTTGTGACGTCAGGCTGACACTATGAAGGGGTGAGTGAGTTGGGTTTAATGTCGCCTTTAACAGTATTCCAGTTATATCACGGCGTGTCAGTTTAATGTGGGAGGAAAGCCCGAAGTGATGCAGACGTTTCCAACTTCGGTATGGTGCCCGTTACTATGGTGAAGAAGATAACTTGGCCGTTGTAAACGTTACTATGGTGATTTCATGGGAACCATTCTTGGGAGATAGCGGAAGAACTTTTACCGTTACTATGGCCGTTTACCGTTTCATGGAAACCATTTCTGTGAGCAGAGACCATATTATATGGTCTCTGCTGTGAGGTAACGGGTTTGGAGATAACGGTAGCACTTTTTCCGTTACTATGGTGATGGAGATAACAGGACCGCGGGTAACTTCATGGAAGCAATGTGTTTGAGGTAACGGGGTTGGATATAAAGAGAAGGGAATACACTGCTGAAAAGAAGTCAGTAGATCTAGACATACGGAAGCGTCATTTCGGATTATTTTCGAAAAGATCATTTTCGATTTCTTAAAGCCGGTTGTTAGTGCACGAGGGATAAAGTTGCATGTAGCTTTGGCGAAATCACACGGGTTCTATAAAGTGGTCCTTGGTTTCACTAGATCATCCAAAGATCCTGGGTATCTAATATGGCCGCCAAGAACCAAGATAGGGGGATCTAGCAACAGATTCACCTGTTTGGGTAAATAATAAATAAACAGCCCTGAAAGAAAATTTAACGGGTATAAGTAACAATGAGGAGAACAAAGAAAGAAACAAGCCACATCTATAAAAAAAAGATGAATTAATAAGCAAACGATATTAATAATAGAACCAAGTTGAAACACGTGTTTTAGCAGTGCATCACACACAACCTGTGTCATTGACGTCATGATGACGTCACACATGCAACCTTGACCTTACTCACGCTCATGTCATTTGACTCAGATTGCAATTTTTGAGCCAGGCGTCTGCGTCTAATTTCATTAATGATGAGAACTGAAATAAAGTGTCGTTATCTATTATTTCTATTAATATGAAACACATCTATCACCTCTAAACTAATTAGTTGCTTGTACTGTGTTAGTGAAGACCGGACCCTGGTAACTGAGTGAGTGAATGTAGGTTTAACGCCATTTTTAACAGTATTTCAGTTTCATCGCGGCGTGTCGGCTTTGAGTGCTTTTGAAACCAAAAGGGATACAGGTCTTAGACGTTTACCACTTTGGTGCTTACAAACCTAGAAATAATATCAGGCCGAACCGCGATTCGAACCCACGATCACAGGATTCTGGCACGCCTAAGGGAGGTAACTCTACATAGCGATTTGCGGTCCCTTAAGCCATCGGACTACCCGTGCCCCATTTTTACCATTATGTTGATTATGGCACTTACGGCCAACGGTCATAATCGGCTGAACGCACGAAGGGCGGATTCTGGTGACTAAGTGAGTGAGTGAGTTGGGCCTCAGACATTGACCAGTTTGGTGAAATACACGAGCACGGGTATGCTGCTGACAACAACAACATCGGAGCAAACCGGGATTCGAACCAACGATCATAGGTTTCTGGCCAAGGGACGCAACTCTGCGCAGCGAATTGCGGCGCCTAAGACGACTGGTCCACCCGTGCCTCTGGTATCTAAGGGATGGAGATACCCTCGCTTCGTATCTCATATCAGAAGAGCTTGTTCACTGGACATATTGTGGTTTTCATATCTTTATGTGTTGTCTAGTGAAAGGGCAGCCTTAATACTACCAGTCTGTACTTAAATTAAACTTGTCTGTATCCGTCATCAAATAGCGTTTCATTTCATGATTCTATTCAATTTAGCACGACCTTTACTGATAGTAGCATTATTTATTTGTGTCTTCATTAATTGTTTGAAAGGCATTACTTAAAAGTTGACGATGACAAAGTAGACACAGCGGTAAGAGGATCTATACCAACGTCGCCTTTACAGTTATTAAAGAAGTTATTATCCATAAATTGTGTCTGCTTTGTGTCTTGATTGTCAAATTGCCAAGGATATTTACAATAGGATATATCACACGTCTGAACGTAGCCTGGATATCATACGCCTGAACGTAGCCTGGATATCACACGCAGCGTAGCCTGGATATCATACGTCTGAACATGGCCTGGGTATCATACGTCTGAACGTAGCCTGGATATCATACGTCTGAACGTAGCCTGGATATCATACGTCTGAACGTAGACTGAATATCACACGTCTGAGTGTAGCCTGAATATCATACGTCTGAACGTAGCCTGGATATCATACGTCTGAACGTAGCCTGGATATCATACGTCTGAACGTAGCCTGGATATCACACGTCTGAGTGTAGCCTGGGTATCATACGTCTGAACGTAGCCTGGATATCATACGTCTGAACGTAGCCTGAATATCACACGTCTGAGTGTAGCCTGGATATCATACGTCTGAACGTAGCCTGGATATCATACGTCTGAGTGTAGCCTGGATATCATACGTCTGAGTGTAGCCTGGATATCATACGTCTGAGTGTAGCCTGGATATCATACGTCTGAACGTAGCCTGAATATCATACGTCTGAGTGTAGCCTGGATATCATACGTCTGAACGTAGCCTGAATATAATACGTCTGAACGTAGCCTGGATATCATACGTCTGAACGTAGCCTGAATATCACACGTCTGAGTGTAGCCTGGATATCATACGTCTGAACGTAGCCTGGATATCACACGTCTGAGTGTAGCCTGGATAACACACGTCTGAACGTAGCCTGGATATCATACGTCTGAGTGTAGCCTGAATACCATAGTCTGAACGTAGCCTGGATATCATACCGTCTGAACGTAGCCTGGATATCATACGTCTAAACGTAGCCTGGATATCATACGTCTGAACGTAGCCTGGATACCATACGTCCATTTGACTTAATTACAAGGCAGCGGGGACTCCGGGTAAGAAAGGGTCCAACACAACTGATATTTGTGGTTAGAGGAGACGTAATGGACAGGGTGGTTAGGCTCGCTGCCTTGGTTGATTACGTCATCGTGTCGCGATGGCAAGTGACGTTGCAATAATATTAATCACTGGACTGTCTAGCTCATTCCGATTAATTGCAGACATTTTGCTGAGTGCGATATTATTCAACAAACAAGATAAACCTGAAACTGTTTACTTATTAAATGTATCTGAAACGACGTGGCAGAAATGATTTTTCTCTAGAAATTGTTAAACAGTCATTAGCCTTCTAAAAAACGGAAGTACTGATGTTAGTTCTGATGTGACTAGGTCAATCTAGCTAGATGTCACGTGACCTAGTACTCACACTCTCCGATGACGTATCGTCGTCGTCATCATCCTCATCGTTGTTAAGTATATCACTAAATACGTTTATAACCTCGAAGGTCATTTCAAGGTGATAAGCAGTTCCTGTAAAGGTCAAATGTAACTCAAACACGTGCAAATAAAAGAAAAACATGTATTTATCACCTTGCCAATAACATAGGTAATACCGGCAAAAGCGTAGCACAAAAAAAGCGTAAAATATTCAAAACAGAGAAACATTCAAATACCCCTCAAAATAAATCACACGTTATTATTGAAGATAATCAAAATATAATCTATAAAATATGCCGTAGATTAAAAGTGTTAAAGTGCTCCAATATATACCAATGTTGATTCGGTATCACGTGACTACGATATCCTGTAAACAAAATTTTATTATGTATTATCAGTAGCTCATACATAGGATCATAAGATATTGTTGACAAACCTATGTTCTATTGATAGACAATGGCGCGGTACAGTCAGAACTAGGGCATATTTCATATGTCGAGTGAAATGGCATGTGTCTCTCATCGACGGCGGGAGATATTTTCACGAGGGGCGTAGCCACCAGTGAAAACATATCCTTTTACCCTTGTCACGAGTTGAGAGAAAAGACGAATATATGAAATATCCTATTCATTATTAACTTTTTTGTGCAGCTGTCTACCGAAAAAATAAAAATATTTCATTAGAAAGTGAAAACCTTGAAACGTAAATTCTCCCTACCGAACACACAGGGGCGGTTCACCACCTATTGTATTTGCGAGTTACAAAGTAGTTCCGTGTTTGCACAATCTTAAACAATATTAACAAAATTATCAAAAAATATTTAGGGTCACGAATATTCTTTATCATACGTTAAGATATGATTAAATACAAAAACAACTTTAACAGAAAAATATTCTTGAAAACTGGAAGACCGTTGATGGAAGCGAAAGAATACACTATGGTCAACTGACAAAAATGGCGCTTTGCGAGACGAACAGTCTCGATTGACGAGTAAAATGAGAAATTTACAGTTTGTTACGAAACATTTTCAAGAGAATAAAAGACGACAAGAAGTGATATTAACTCCATAAATGCCCATCTGTCATTATTTGGCCTGTGGTACTAATGTGATAAAACGTCAACCGTTTGTGTACAGGCTTGACACTTGCGATAAAGGGAGACAGTTTAAGGGGAGGTAATTCTTGCATGACACTAGTTCCGTCAGTGTTATGTTCACTGCAGTGAAATATCAAGTGTTATGTTAACTGCAGTGAAAATATCACTTTTCTCAACTTCGGAAAAATAAATATTTCACACTGAAGTATAAATAAAAGACAGTTGACAAACCTATATTCTATAGAATTCAGCAACCCATGCTTGTAAAAATCGGCTACCTGAGTTAACATTTAAGGCTAATGAAAAGTCGGTCATGGACAAGTGTCCACTGTTCAAGATAATTATTATTTTTATAAATTTCCAATTAAATTTATTGAATACACTTTATTCAGCGTAAATTGCTATGAACGAGATCTTCCGCACACCGTTTGTGTAGAAGAAAACGTAGATAAAGCAATTTAATTCAGGGGTTTATTTCCAGAGGGGGATAGTGTGATTCAAGCAACATAATACAAACCTCGTTTCTTCTCGCGAGGCTGCACGATAAGTGATGTGTCAACTTGCTGGCCACAAGTCTCGCAAGGCTTTGTGGGAAGACTCTGCGTATCCTTGGGCGTGAGCCACTCTCCCATGAAGGACGGGTCCCCACACATTGGACACTCCACCAGGCGCTCCACCCACACTCCTGTGGCACATTACAAATATAGTGAGTTTGGTTTAACGCTGCTTTGAATAGAATTCAGTGATATGACGGTGTCATTTTAAGTGGAAGGAAAGACCGAGGTGATCAGATGCCGACAAAACAAACATCATGATCAGGATTCGAACCCACGACTCTGATGATGGACATCTAAGGGACGCAACTCTGAACAGCTTATTGCGGCGCTGCAGACGACTTGGCAGCCCGCGACCCCGATTTATATACATAATTCACCAGTAAAAGAAGCATACATTTTCAAATTATCTGTTTTCTAATTCCTTCCCACTATTATATATTTGGGGATTCTGGAGCATAACGTTTCGTCTTTCTTTCTTTTGCTCTCGTTTTTCACCCTCTCTCTACTCTCTGGACGCCAGGCTAGAATAGGACTACACGTTTATCATTAAAGCCCACTAATAAGGATCGGCATATATTGTGAAACCTGGCTGATTGTATGTAATTGTATTCAACTGGTATACATGATATCAACCACTGGTTATATACTAGTAGATGGAATAGTTCTCAGTGCGGTGTGAAACAACATTCTCTCACTCGCTTGGCATGGTGTAGTTCAGCCCGTGAAGATCCGGGGTAGAAAAGGTCTTCAGCTTGCCGTAAATGGTGACTATGCTTGTCGTAAGAGGCGACTAACGGGTTCGGGTAGTCAGGCTCGCTGACTTGGTTGATACATGTCATCGATCCCAATTGCGTGGATCGATGCTCATGTTGTCAATCACTGGATTGTCTGGTCCAGACTCGATTATTTACAGACCGCCGTCATATAAGCTGAATATTGCTGAGTGCGGCGTTAAACAACAAACAAACAACAAATAAACTTACCGAGGTAGCTCTTGATGATTTCTTCAAAGTCTAGGATGAGAGGCAGGAGGGTGTTCCACATGGTAGAGGCAGGCACTTGGTCCTCGCCGGGGCTGTCGTCACGGACCTCAAACCTCAGCACCACCCCGTCTCCCTCCGCCCGGGACTGACAGTACATAATCAACACCCGCATGGAATGAACCTTGTGTAGTGCGTGTATCCCTCCGCCCCAATGCGACAAAAACTTCAGTTTATGTTTTTCTCTATGTGCGCGCACACAAAGGAGTTCGAACATACCTGGGGGCATATAGTGCGGGAACTGGAACAGCACAGCCACCTTCCTTCTGTTCGCAATGCCCTCCCACTGTTCACGAAGCTCGTTAGGTTCGCCAGACTTTCTGAACCACGGAATCAGAAGCTTGGATATCCGGATCTTCCCTTCTTCGTCTGGCTCGCACACTAGGGAATAGGTCTTCTCAGTCGACCCTTTACTCACAGGGTAGCCGATTTCTAACGCTTCAGTCAACAGGTGCAGGACTTGATTGAAGCTTGCAATGAAGTTGTTCGGGAGGTGGTAAAGCAGCACCCCCTTGAGAAAGTCCCTATCGACAACCCCTTCAGTTAAAACCTCCTGTTTAAGCCGTTCAAATCTCACAGGACTGATGCCAACGTTTTTGAAATTGTCATCAGCATGGTAGCCATATTTCTCGCTGATGTCGTGTCTGAACACCTGTCTAAAGATGTCGAAGAGCCAGAGCGGTCGGACAAACACGTACTGCTTCAGAGTAGGGATCTGGAAGAACCAGATGATCTTGCCGGTGTCATGGAGGTAGCGTGATATTTCCTCAATGAGATGTTTCATCCCAAACTTGGACGTTATCTCCTCGGTGTACTGTTCATATGTCATGATTGGCACCGGCATGCTGTTCCCCCTTTCCTCTATGTACGCCTCCACCTCCACCCAGAACGTTGGGATCACTCTCATCACGTTGGGAAACAACTTCTCGTCGCTGGCCAGAGTCTCCACTGCCGAGCGGAAGGTGTCAAATCCTGTGTATTTGAACGAACTGGTGACTATCACATCTGTCTGGACTGTGAACTTGGCCTGAAGGAGTTTCATGTAGGACTTGAGTTGTTCGGACAACGTTGGGGAGATGTTGGGCTTCTCCTCGATAACCTTGATTCTCTCTTGGACCATTCGTCTTTGTTTGTCCAGATGCTCCTGCAGCTGTTTTGGGACCTCGGTAGAAATGTCCTTGACCCTGTCCCTAGAGATGAGATCACAGTGCGTCCCCACCAGGATCACCACCAGTTTGTTGGTTTTGGCTACCATCCAGTCAAACCAAGTCCCGATCATTTCCTCAAACTTGGAGCTTTTGTATTCCGCCATGTTGAAAGTTAGAACCGTGATTGAAGGAAGTTCAAAGAAGATGTAATGAGGGTACAGGTAGAAAGGGTCACCGCAAAAGTCCCAAATACACAGATTCAGAGACCTGCCCGGTCTTCCTTGCTCAACGTCATAGTCAAAACTGGTTTCATAGGCATCAACTCCAGCAGAACTCTCAAATACCTCCTCTGCGATCCGCGGTTGCCCGTCGACCAAAGAATGAACGAAGCTTGTCTTACCACTCTTGTGTGACCCAAGTAGCAGAATTTTTATTCCTTGGAAGACTTTAGCCTCTGCCTGTGACTCCTGGAAATACTGCATTATAGACCTAAGACCAGACTCACATACATCTGAGGGTGGGTACGTGAGGGGGTTCCCCTCCAACACCAACTCCTGGTCCGTATTCCATTCCAACTTTTTGATAATGTTCCATGATAGCACTTTCAGTTTGTTGCTGCCGAGGTCGAGTTTCTTACACATGAATAACAGATGACCGGGGAACTTTGTCAGATTGTTACCCGCGAGATCAATTTCACTGATCAGGTGCCTGCTCTGGACCTTCACGGTGAATGTGGGCACCTTGGTTACCTGGTTATGACTAGCGTTCAATGCCTCCAGCTGGGGCAACAGAAACACATCAGTAGGAAGAACTGACACTTTATTATTGGATATATCTAGGTCATTCAACATCCTGAGGTTGCGTATGTCATTGGTCACGTCTCTTATACTGTTGTCGCTACAGCGCAGAATCTCCAACCTCCGCATATGCCCAATGTCTTTGAACACCGCACCAAGATTGTTATTGTCCACAACCAAGATCTGAATCCTTCTCAGCTTCTCCAAACCTTTCAAGCTCTCCAACTTGTTGTTGCTGAGGTCGATTCTGCAAAGGTTCTTCAACCTTTTAAGACAAGGAGGAATCTTGGTCAGGTGGTTGTCATTCAGTCGAAGTTCCTGGAGGTTCTCCAGCGTCTTCATGCTATCAGGGAAACCGGTGTCCCCGAGGCTGTTGTTCCCGAGGTCCAACTTCTCCAGGTGGATCAGACAGCCCACGAGTGTCTCGGGAACTGTCTTCAGCTTCATGCCGTTGATGGTCAGACGTCTGACGGTGTCCGAGAGCCTCTGAACCTGGTCCAGGGTGTCTTTGCTGACCTCAAGGAGTCGCACGGACACCGCCTTCTCTCGGCTGGGCGTGGGGAGTCTCTCTGGGTTGAGATGCCGGGCCTGTTCAAAGCCTATGTGCGTGAGGGGCCTTGGGCCATACGGGCTGTGGAACCTCGGGAGGTTCTGTTTGTTTCTACTTCTACTGTGAGCTTTCATGGCTGTGGCCATTATTCGAGGTCTGAAGGGTTATCCGTACTCCATTCTTTGTGTTGGAATCTGAAAACAATACGTCATATATACATACAGATCTGAAGCGTTTATATGAAACATACTCAGAATAACGTACGTGTCATTTACAATGTCGATGACAGGCAGAGTTGTTCGTGTTTTACTCTCTCTCTCTTTCTCTCTCTCGCCATTCTCTTTCTCTCCCCACTCCCTTTATCTCCCCTACCTTTCTCTCTCCCTCGCTCTCTCTCTCTCTCTCGCCACTCTCTTTATCTACCCCCCCCCCCCCCCCCCCCCCTCTCTGCTCTGTGGTCTCTCTCCCTCCTCCTCCTCTTACTCCCCTCCCCTCCCTCTTCCCCCCTCTCTCTCTCTCGTACACTGTGTGTGTTACTTACTCACCAAAATGACACAGGTCTACTTTCTTTCAGTTAGTAAACCACATCCAATAACTGAATCCTTACAATGAAACGACCTTCCACAACTGCCTGCAATACCCAGCCCACCATTCCCCTTGTATTTGTTCGTATAGCAGAAGGCACACCACTTAATGGGGAATACCACTCACGTATTTGCCGAACTGTAAGCCAATATTCCCTTTATTGTTTAGTAACCCAGATTACTGCCAAGTCTACCAATGTTTCTTGAGCCGAGATTGATAGGTTTGTATATGTGTGATATCTACCGAATAACTTTGATATCGGCTGAAATCCTATTTGATCGACTTGGAAATTGTCCATTCTGTTGTTTCGTTGTTACCCGTTGATCAGTGTCTGTTAACTGAAGCGATTTCTATCAACGATCACAAATAACAAAATGTAATAAGATAGCTGTTCTTGACAAGACATTTGTAATAAATGTATACCCACCTATACAGTTTTGTAGCGACAGTACGGCGTAACGACTTGCAACAAAAGGCGATTTTTACCGACTGCAGCACAAACCACGGAACTTCGACATGGATGGTTAACCACTTAAACGACAGTACAAAGAATGACACATGCCCCGTTAACCTATATCGTGTTAAATTCCATTATATTAATATAGATGAATTTTAGAGCGATTCTAGTTTAAACAATCACGTATTTGGTATTCAGAGCGACTTAGTAGAAAACGAAGAAAACATATTGATCTATCGTCATTACATCTGAGTGTTTACGCTTTCAGAATTCCAACCAACGCATTACGTAATTTAATTGATTAAGCAATATTACGGCTAAAGTAATTTTGTTAAAAGCAGCGTTTTGCCATGGCTGTCGCTGCTCTGCAGTAAAGTATTACATCGTTAAAGTGGCAAATAACACCTCGTCTATTGTCTGTGTGTGGGTGCTAGTGTTTTATTTGAACCTAATTTAGAATACAGCACTGTTGAATACCCACACATTTCTTAAAGGCACACACGCACACTCTCTTTATCTCCTTGTCTGCACAATGACGTATGGTAATGAGGCATACTTCAACCAGTGTCGACACGCAATCTCTTAAACATCAATGCTGCAGCGAAAGTGTCAAATCTAAAAAAACCAAGCTCGTTAGAGCGATGGGGGATTAGCGGAACGCTGTGGAATTTCTTTATTGCATGGGTGAAGTCCGACTCGCCGTATACGTGAATACAATGTTGTGCGTTCGCTCAGCATTGTGCTATATCACTGTCAAGTCATACGAGCCTTTCGGCACCACATTAAACTCTTAAAGGGGGTCTCTGCTGAGAGGACTGGTGCCATTTTTCTGCCTCGTTTTAGATTTTGTAATTAGGTCAATCTGAGACTCTGTCTCGGGACCCGTTAAGATCCGGGTAGAGAATAGGTCTTCAGCAAACCATGACTGGCATAAGCCGCGACTATGCTAGTAAGGGGCGACTAACGGGATCGGGTGGTCAGGTTCGCCGACTTGTTTGATTCATGACATCGTTGCCCAATTGCGTGGATCGATGTTCATGATGTGAATCACTGGATTGTCTGGTCAGACTCGATAATTCACAGACCGGCGTCATACAGCTGGGATATTGCTGAGTGCGGCGTTTGACAAACAACAAAAACAACAAACTCAGCTTAACGTCGGAATACACAGACCTATTTGATCCGACAGACACTAGCAGCGTTGTTTGGGGGACTTGACTCAAATTGGCTGGGACTGCCTATTTGCCCAGGTCTAGTCCCACTCTTTTAAATTAAGCTCCCTTTAATCTAAATGTGAAAGGGTGTTGCACGTCCAGTTCGCAAACTGTTTGAGCACAAAATCTCACCAACATGCGCCAACTCAGAGACGATACCAAGCAGTGACAAACTGAGTTGCGCTTATTGCACCGGACTTCTGTTACATGGACAATGGTGAAGACAGGGATTTGTTCGGTGAGTGAGTGAGTTTGGTCTACAGCCTCGTTGAACAGTATTTAGTCACATCAAAGCGTACCAGCCGTATGTTGGGGTAAATCCCGTGATGAAAGGCTTGGGTGTCTTAGAGTGAGGGAGAGAGGGAGCGAGAGATTAGTCCACGGCAGTAGCCTTCTTGCAGTTGGGGAACTTCCGGGTCCATGAACCCTCATATTAGAGGGTCTAATTGAACGTTGTGTATGATTTATGTTACAGACAGGTACGTTTATGAATTATGTTTTTATAAAGGAGAGACAATTATTGGCCCGCCCGCCCGTCCGTCCGTCCGACCGCCCGTCCGTCCGTCTGTCTGTCGGTAATCTCGCTCGTGGAAGTGTGCGTGGTCTTTCAGTGGTTTTCACAGCATAGCGACGCTGACGAGTCTACCTATTGTGTAGATGCGGCTATTACACACACATGTAAACTATTTCTATTTGTTGTCAAATGTCAAGCGCTGCCGCCTTATTGCTTCTTGGTGAATACATTGACGCACCGCCTCACCAGTGTCTAATCAAGCGACCTTGGCCACACACAAACGTATATCCCAGAAAAAATATCCAATTACAATTCCTTTTCTAAACCCTTCGTGCACCGAAACAGCCTTTTTATCGTGCATTCTGGAGATACCGGTGACGAATATCACTACAGTGAGTAGAGGGGAATGTCTGACTAACTCTCCATTCCTTAAAAATAATGAAGCAGAGGCCCATTTATTTTAAGGAATGGAGAGTTGCGAGGATATTCCCCTACTTAAAACTCATCCCTACTATTACACTTTGACAACCTATTCTGTTGTGGAAAATATTTGAAAAAAAACCCAGAACTCTTTGTTGTCTGTATTTATACTGCGTGAGTCGCCCTTGCGTGATGCACGAGGAATGCGTACCTTGCCGCTGTTGCACGTGCGTCAAGCTCCGTCGCGAGCTGACATTTACAATGCATTGTACACGGCTCTTCATAATTTCGTTTGGTCCTTAACTAGTATTTATAGAGCCCCGAACAAGTATATATATTACCTGATATGTATTTTCTCGTCAAAGGTTTATCTAACTGCTATAAATATGAACATCGTTGTGGGTAACCTGCTCTAACACAAATTATATACATATTATTTTGAGCCCTTAAGCATTATGCAAAATTCTGAAAATATTTAATAGTTAATTTCACACAATGTAATTAAGTGTCGCCGTCGCTGATGTTGACAATTACACGTTCTCATATCTAACGATACGGGTTCGAACCCCGCTGGCGACACATGTTTTCGGAAAAAAATGAAATTATTCATTTGTCAATAAATGTAAAAAATAGTTCCGTCTATTCCAAGTGGAAATTAATTCAAATGTTGGTTCAAGATAATGTCAAGTTGACAAACAACTCTCCATTCCTGAAAGAGAATGGAGCGTTCAAACAACGAATGACGTCACAGATTTGTGTTAAACTACGGTTAGAACGAACTGAAGGGACCAATAACTTTAGTTCGTTGTAACCGTATTTCGTTATAAGCATATATACAGCAAATGGTGGGGACCCAAAATAGTTCGTTATAAGCGCGTTCGTTATAAACGTAGTATTTGTTTATACCTGTATCTGATAAAACAAGACAAGGATTTCTAAAGACATATTGTCATAAAACCCCAAGTCTTCATATATGTACATGCCGTAAGGCACTCTAAGAAAACTAGCTCAATTCTGTAAAGGAATAATTAATTTGAGTCTTTTAAAAAAACACCAAATACCAAATAAAAAAAATGTACTTGTTATCATTTGTACACTATGTTTATTTATGTCTGTACTCACAGCTTGTATGTATTCGATGCACCAACACATACAACAAATATCATATTTGGGATAACATTTCCTTTGTAAAGTACAAATTTTACTTTTTGGGGTTGAGTCGCACCCGGGATTCGAACCCACACTCCTAGTCTGTACAGACAACCTGTATATATTTGATGTACTAACACATACAACAAATGTTATATTTGGGATAACAGTTCCTTAGTAAAATACAAAATTTACTTTTTGGTGTTGAGTCGCACCCGGGATTCGAACCCACACTCTTAGTGAGGCACCAAATCGCCAGCGCACAAAGTCAGCGATTGACCACTTTCTAAATGGCATTGTGTATCCATACCAATAAATACACGGATAGCGGTCTGAGAGTGAATTCCGAACCACCAGTACCAATTTCAAGTTACATACCAAGTATATATGTACTGTGTATATTTGAAAATGTCACTGAAATCGAGTTTTTGTTTCTATACCCGATTAGTTTTGAGAGGCTTTAATGAATAAAATACCCCATGTTGACAAAGTAAGTAGAATGTTAAAATAGGACACACACACACACACACACACACACACTACGCTGTTGACGCTCGGCATCATGCGGCTAAAACAAGGACTGGTCAGCTCGGAGTCAGTATACGTGTCTGAGTCGGGTATTCATGTCAAACGGCAAACGTTAAACGATGGTACCTGTTACGTTTATCTCGGGGACACGGCTGGCCCAGTCGTCGCCATTCGCTGTGCAGAGTTGCGTCCCTTGGGCACGCTAGAAACCTATAATTGTGGGTTCGAATCCCGATTCGCCCCGATTATGTTTCTAGGTTTGTCAGCACCATACCCGTGCTCGTGGGTTTCACCGAAGTGGTAAACGTCTGAGACCTGCATCACTTC